CTGTAGTGTGTGTGTGTCCATCTCTCTGATACCTCCCTCCAGAGCATCCTCACTTGAGTTGACATGTTACAAAGTGGCCATCTAGTGGCTTGTTTGTGTATGACACTACAGTAATAATAATAATAATAATAATAATAATAATAATAATAATAATAATAATAATCCTTGCATTTGATATAGCGCTTTTCACGTCGGGAGGACGTCCCAAAGCGCTTCACAGAACACACTGTAAAGTGAATTGACTGTATATTTGTGGGCGAACGCGGCAGCCAATTGCGCACAGCAATGTCCCACAAACAGTCGTAGATTGAAAATGACCGATTTATTATTGCTTTTGGTTTTGGAGGGATTATTATTAGGCTCTGTGTGGAGTAAGGAAACTTGCCCAAGGTTTCGCCCTCTGGCTGGAAGTCTTACAATGGGAGAATATCAATTGGCTTTCCTTGCATATCAAGCTTATAATAATAATAATAATAATAATCCTTTGAGACTTTGAGACGTCTCAGAGCACTTGACAGGATATATTGTAAAGTGAATCGACTGTATATTTTGAGGGCGAACGCAAAAAATGGTTGAAAGTGCTTCTTGGTAATTACTGTCAAGTCTACTGACTGTATTTTGCAGGTAATTACTGTCAAGTGTAGTGACTGTATTTTGCAGGCAAAGCAGCAGCCAATTTGTGCACAGTAATGTCCCACAAACAACCACCAGATAGAATATACCTTAAAGTGAATTTGACTGTATGTTTTGTGGGCGAATATAATTGATATAAAATTACATTTACGCAGCATCTTTCACATCGGGAGGACGTCCCAAGGCGCTGGACAGACAGAGTTACGGACCCAAGGTGAAGATCGGGGTGAGGGAGGGCAAGGGGGGAAGCAGGGTGATCGAAAGTATGGTCAAAGAGGAGGGTCTTGAGGTGGGTCTTGAAGGTGGTGAGGGAGGGGACGAGACGGAGCGACTGCGGGATGAAGTTCCAGAAGGTGGGTGCAGATTGGCGGAAGGCCCGCCCGCTGATAGTGGGGAGAGCAAGGCGGGGGACGTGAAGCAGGCTGGAGTCCGTTGAGTGAAGGGAGTGAACAGGGTGGTAGGGAGTTAGGAGGTCGGAGAGCTCGGGGGGAGCAAGACCGTGGAGTGCTTTGAAGGTGAGGACCAGGATCTTGAACTTGTATCCTCTGTGTGATGGGAAGCCAGTGGAGTTGGGCAAGGATGGGTGTGATAGGGTCGCGGAGTCTAGTGCGGGAGAGGACACGGGCTGCAGAGTTTTGGATGATCTGCAGCCTGTGGAGGGAGGAGTGGGGAGGCCAACAAGCATACACAGTATATCCTGTGAAGCGCTTTGAGACGTCTCAACAATGTGATAAAGTGCTATAGCAAATGCAAGGATTATTATTATATTATTAATAGTGCACGGGCTGGGAAATTAGTTTACTGCCTCATCTGATGCATGGTGCCTCCGACAATACAACGTTCTCTCTGGCAAGCACTGCGCTGGAGCGTCAGAATAGACTATGAGCTCAAAGTCCCCCACGTGGGGCTTGAACCCGCATTATTTGGACGCAAGGTGAGAGCGCTAACCAACTGAGCCAAACTGAGCCCTCCCTACCCAGGGGCTGTTCAAGGGAATTGGAAAGATAGGGGTTCAGTTTGGTTCATTTGGTTAGAGGTGTCGTCCTTGGGTGCGATGTTAATCCAAGCTCCTGTCTGCCTCTACGTGGGGCTATGAAGTATGCTGCCTGGCAATCCTCCAGGTAATTCACTTCACGACTTGCGTGTTTGCTGAGAAACAGTCACTGCACTTGACAGGAATTGGCTGTGAAGCACTTTGAGCTTTACATATGTTACGTCAAATGCAAAGATTCTTATAATTCTTTCTAATCTTGTGGAGTCCTGTAGCTCAGTGGTTAGAGCACTCGCTTTGCAAGCGAGAGACCTGAGTTCAATTCCAGGCAGAGGGCGAAACCTTGGGCAAGTTTCCTTACTCCACACAGAGTCTCCAATCTCCAATAATCCCTCCAAAACCAAAAACAATAATAAAATTGGCATTTTCAATCTACGACTGTTTGTGGGACATTGCTGTGCGCAATTGGCTGCCGCGTTCGCCCACAAATTTACAGTCAATTCACTTTACAGTGTGTTCTGTGAAGCGCTTTGGGACGTCCTTCCTACGTGAAAAGCGCTATATCAAATGCAAGGATTATTATTATTATTATTATTATTATTATAATCCTCTGATGCTCTGAATGGTTTTACACCCAAAGGTCTGTTCGCCAATGAGTTTTCACTGTATTTCAGCACCAGCTGCCACCTTCTGGACACAATTGAAACAATTGAAGTAATAAATGATAGCTTACATTTATATACAGTCAGGCCCTTCACCTAGTAATGACTTAGGGCTGGACATTGAGCTACATGCTCGCTCTTGGTGACATCATCCGTACACGTGGAGTCAACTTCCTCATGGGTGATGCTGATACCCAACTCTATCTCTCTGCTTCCACCCTCAACTCCAGAACCATTGCTGTTCTCACAGACTGCCTGTCGGACATCAAGTCCTGGATGAGAGCAAACTTTCCCCAGTTAAATGAACAACAACAACAACGAGATTACATTTGTATAGCGCCTTTCACGTCGGGAGGACGTCTCAAGGCGCTGGACAGAGTACAGCATTTCAGACCCGAGCTGGGGTTGGGGGGGTAAGGGAGGGTAAGGGAAGGGGGGTGGCCGATGGCATGGTCGAAGAGGAGGGTCTTGAGGTGGGACTTGAAGGAGGCTAAGGAGGGGGTGAGGCGGAGTGACTGGGGGATGGAATTCCAGAGGTTGGGGACAGAGTGGCTGAAGGCTCTCCCGCCAATGGTGGGGTGGGTGGGTTGGGGGACGTGGAGCAGGCCAGAGCTGGCTGAGTGGAGGGAACGGGCGGGTTCGTAAGGGGTTAGGAGGTCGCAGAGGTAGGGTGGGGTGAGGCCATGGAGGGCTTTGTAGGTGAGGACCAGGATCTTGAACTGGATCCTCTGAAGGATAGGGAGCCAATGGAGTCGGGCAAGAGTGGGGCAGATGGGATCATGGAGTTTGGTGTGGGAAAGGACACGAGCTGCAGAGTTCTGGATTATCTGCAGCCTGTGGAGGGAGGGGTTGGGAAGGCCTTTCCGTTTGCATAGTCGAGCCTGGAGGTGATGAAGGCATGAACAAGAGTTTCAGCGCCTGAGGGGTGAGGCAGTGGCGGAGTAGGGCGATGTTACAGAGGTGAGGGAAGGCAGGGCGGGTCATGGCTTGAATGTGGGGGAGAAAAGACAGTTGAGAGTCGAACAAGACACCTAGGTTCCTGACTGGCTTGTTGAGTTGTAGTGTACAACCATGGAGGTTGATGTTGCCGGAGCCTGAGGTGCTGAGGAGCTGGCGCGAGCCAATCAGGCCCTCCTGCTTGGCTCCCAGCAGCGCCTCTGTACCTCAGGTGCTGAGAGCATCACCTTCCATGGATGCACTCTACACTCTACACCTCACAGAGCCCACTCCTCACCTACACTAGGCTCTGTGACCTGATCATCCACAACCTCACCCGACTCCACTGGTACAGTTGATACAGTTCAAGATCCTGGTCCTCATCACCTTCAAAGCCCCCCATGGCCTTTCTCATCCCTCCCTCCATGATCTCCTAACCCCTTACCAATCTGTCGGTTCCCTCCTCTCAGTGGGTTCCAGCCTATTCACGTCCTCTGCCTCGCCTGCCCCACCATTGAGGGGGCAGGCCTTCAGCCTCTCTGCCCCCACCCTCTGCAACTCCATCCCACAGCTTCTTGCCCTCTCCCTTGCCTCCTTCAAGACGCTCCTCTTTGACCGTGCTCTTGGTCACCCTCCTACCCTCACCCTCCCCGCCCTCCAAACCTCCTGATCCCAACCACCAGCACGGGTGCGGATGCCCAACACCTTGGGACGTTCTCCTGACCTGGTCCAAGGCACGATGGAAGAGGAAGGTCTTCAGAAGGGACTTAAAGGAGGCAGGAGAGGGGATGAGGTGGAGGGACTGTGGGATAGAGTTCTAGAATGTTGGGGCAGAAATGCTGAATGCCCGACCACCAATGGTGGGCGGGAAGTGCGGGGCACCTGAAGCAGTCCAGTGTCCGCCGAGCAGAGGGAGCGGACAGGCTGATATGAAGAAGACACAGGAGTGTTGGCCTGGACTGTGAGCTCAGAGTCCCAAATGTTTGTGAGGCAAATTAGATAGATTTATTTTAGGAAGTATCTTGGAATAAGTGAAAAAAATTGGTTACTTAATCCACGGCTGTTTGTGGGACGCCTCTGTGAGCAATTGGGCTGACACGTTTCACCCACAAAATATACAATCAATTCACTTTACAGTACATTCTGTGAAGCGCTTTGAGAAGTCTCGAAGATGTGATAAGGCGCTGTATCAAATGCAAGGATTATTATTATTTTTATTAAGGATTATTATATCGTTTGGGACATGACATGTGCGTGCAGTTGCCAGGATGGTGGAAGGTGGAACGGGATGGACCGTGGTCTTCTTTCTTTCGCCTCGCAATTCTTGTTAGGGTTCCTGTGCGAAAATGCTACCGACTGAGCTGGGGCTGAGCTGACAGGACGGAGGGAGGAAGAGTAGGGGATAAAGGGGGAAAATGGCCCCCAATGGGTTACGTTAATGACATTGGCAAGATTTGGCTATCGATACACAGAGTCTGTGCACTGGAAAATAATTAGCCGTGAAGCGCTTTGAGGTACGCAACCCGATAAGGCGCTGCGAACATTTTTAAATGTATTATAATGTATAATAATATATTTTATTTCTATATATTTCAATTGCATTGGGCCATTTGGTGAGAGTGGGGGGAGAGGGGGGGGAACAAAGACAACAGCCTACGTCACTGACGTTGCCAGTGGTGACGCCGTTGCTACGGCGCCCGCGCGCGGGGCCTTTGGACGTGACGCAGCGTCCCGCCCCTGCAGGGTGACGGTGGGAAACCCCTCCTCCGGGCTGGCGGGCAAACAGACGCGCAGCGAGCCGGCGCCATTTTGTTTCACTTCAGCGGTCGTCGTCGTGCGAGGCGGGTTACTCAGGCTCCGGTTTTCTGGACTCGGGGGGTTTAAAATTTAGCCAGGGAGAGAGAGAGAAAAAAAAAGTCTTTCTCTCTTTCTATATATTTTTTCTTGGGTCATATATTAAAAACAGATTTGTTACCGCTTCGGAGAGTCCGTTTAAAACCAGAAAGAGCGACACAGACGGGGCGAAATATATCATTATATTTCTGTAACAAATATCCTTCGACAGAACAAGGCCCGAGGGCGCAAGACGAGCCGCGGCAAGAAGGCCCGAAACGAAAGCCGAGAGAGAGCGAGAGAGCAAGAGAAAAGTGGAGGTTGGAAAGCGAGAGAAAAAAACGCTAGGCCCCAACTCGAGACCTTCCTCAAGAGTAAAAAATAATTCGACAATAAAAATTCGTTGCTTCCTCTCACGCCTTCAGGTAAATGTCAAGCGAGTTTTTATTATTCGTGTGCGTGTGTGTGTGCGCGCGTGTATAGAAAATGTAGTCTTAAACGGCTTCGTTCGTGTTAATCTCGTTTGAATTCGTGTTTTTTTATTTAATTTGAGGGAAGGAGGTTATATCTGTATATATATATATATGTGTGTGTGTTTTTGAATTTATTGGGAAACGTTTCCGAGCGATTTAATTTTATTTTTTGTATTACCTTTTTTTAAAACAATTATCGGACCTTCCTCGTTTCGGGGAAAAGGGGAGGGTGGAAGGAAGAAATGTCCGATTTAAGAGTGCCCTTCCCCCCCAAATAAAATGGTTATTGTGCAATACCCCTCTCGTCCCCTCCCCTCCCTTCCTCTCTGTTCTGTGTACGTGCTATAAACGCGCATTCTGCTTTGGCGTAAGACCCACGGATCATTTCATAATTTCTTTCCCTCCCTCCTCAGGTCTTAGACTGAAGATACGAACGGTAATGATCTGTAAATCTTACGTATACTTTTTTAAAAATAAAAGAGGACTGTATATAAATTATAAGAAAATGGAAAACCGGGAGCCCGAAAAACATGTGTCGAGGGTTTGTTGCCTTGTACTTTTACTTGTTAAGTTTCGTATGCAGGCTCTTTATTTTTTCCGTTTTAAAACGGTTTGAGAGAGCGAAGTTTAGTTTTGTTTCTCCTCTCCCCCCCCCCCCCCCCCCCCCCACCCCGAACCACCACACAAGGAGCGTTTTGTACGATATAGTATATTAGAAACAATCGAGCAGAAACATTGAAAATGTTTGCTTAAATGCAGTGTTTCTACCCGGTAAAGTTTTTTTTAATCTCCAGGTTAATACATGCGCAGCCTGATTTTGGCACAGCCTGCTGTTGATGTTCAGTGCAAATTTATTTCCTGTTGCAAGTCATTTTTCTCCGGCTTCGTGGCTTTTGCTCCTCCATCCTCGCAATCTTTTAACCAAATACATTCGGTTATTGGATATATTCAGTACAGTGTATTCAGGAATATTGTACAATAAGAGTTTGTGAACTTGATGGCTACATTATATGCAAGAACAGTAGCTTTTCAATTTAAATAAACTCATTAGGCTCACATTTATTTTAAAGAGCCTCTTCTCCTTGGTGCAGTGCTGCGCAGCAAACAAATGTGATAGTGGAGGGTTCCAGATTACTGTTTTTTTAAAAGAGCATATTCAAGGCTGCACTGTAGAAAATCAAGCTCTTGACTTTGTCATTTTGATGGGTGATCTGCACTCTGGGGAGAAGAGCAATGTATCTTACACTATTTTGACATTATGCGCAGCCTTGATGAGAGCCATTTTATGAGGTCAGTGCTATTCTTTCCCATTCTCTTCAGTTACAGCCATTTCATAGTCCTATATTGTCACCAACTTGCCCGTAACTCTTGTCTTAAGTTTCAAATGGTTGTTTTTTGCATGTGTAGTAGCTATGAACTTGCCCAGTGAGTACGTTACAGCTCACTTAATTCTGTCATGACACAGTACAATTTTAGGGGGGTGGTGCTGGGGCATGCAGATTAGAGAAGTTCTGAATTCTTAAATTTTATGCAATTTAATTTGTGGTATTTTTTTAAAAAGCCATGCTGAATTTTTAAAAAAAATAATTGATAAGGTCATAATGTGTCTTCGGTACTTTAGGTGACATTGGGAAATACTCATCAGATCATTATTGTACGTGGCTTCGTTAGTTTTATAAAGTGCAAGTGTTTAAATGGGAATACTTGGAATTGAAGTTTTGATTTTTCTCCGCCCCCCCTCCTAAATTTTTGCAGCAATCTTGCTCCTGTTTGCTCTTGCTACACATTTTTGTGATAATAGGCTGTTTGATAGATTTGGGAGGAATCCATTTGTAAATGGGAAAAGCAAACTATATAATAGTTAAAATTGCCAGGTACCCTTTCTCTTGTTCCTGTTATTTGTAATTTGGATTACATGGGGTTACTGGATAATCTTGAGAACAATAGCATCTATTTTATAGGCAAACTGCATCTGCTATTGATACAGAAGAACTGGCCAGACCAGCAGTACTTGTTTTAAGGGACAATTATTTACTATGTCAAATTTAACTTTCCATTTTTCTGTCTTCAGAAATTAAGATAGTTGTCTCGACTGTGATGCGGACAATCGTTCTGATGTTTTTGAAGACTATTTAACAAGACACCAAAGTTGTATCGTTGTTTGAATAATAAATTTTAATAGAACTATCAATGTTATTTTATAATAGGGACTTTAAACCCAGAAGAATGGACTTGAGATCTGTTGAAAATTAATTTCTGTATGGTGACATTGGAATTGTCATTGTATGTATAATTTGTTAGGAAATATAGAAATGTGGCAATTGTGTTGATTTGTTGCAAAATGAGTCTTCACGTTAGTACGCAGAAGTTTACAGAGGCAACTTATTCACATTGTTTGGCCTTTTTGGAAGATCAACATTCTGGAAGTTCCTTGATTTATATGAATATTTATATGAATTATAAATTATGAAGCAGAGAAATTTCACCATCTGCATATTGATCTCCCAATATTATGAAAAATGCACATTGTAAACTTAACTACAGATATTTGCTTACTGAAGTAAATTTGCAAATTAAGCCTCTTCTGATCTTGACATAACTATCCTGATTTGATTTGATGTCAAATCAGGATGGTTAGACTGTTGGGCATGTTCACCTCAGGTAGCCTAGCTATTTCATTTCTACCAAGGTCGACTAGGATGGAATACTGTCCTTTCCTACCCTGCCCACATACATCTGGTGAGTTTTAAAATAAGTTACATTTCCCAACTCTCTTCAGTTAGGCTCTTTCTTTGGTAGTAGGAGAGGGAGGGCTTGTTTGTAATCAATTACCTAATTGTTGAAGATACAGCTTCAAAAAAATCATCGTAGCATTTAGAGAAACATGATTACATTAAGAACCGTGCACTGAGTTACGCAACTTTTATGGGTGTACTAATGATAACCAGTTATATTGTGTGAACTGTTGTGAGATATTTGTTGATTTTAAAAACAGGCGCCTAAAAGGGACTACATTATTCGATATTTTTGGGGTCCAATTTGAATAATTTATGCATAAATGTAGCCACACTGACATTTAAAACCCTTTATTTTCAGCTAACTTAAAAAAAGTAAAAGCAAATTGCATGATAAAATGGCATTAGATTGTTCATAATTAGCTAAAATTAACATCTTAAAAAATGCAGATACAGCCATGGCCAATGTTTTTAACAGTACTCATACAGCAATGAAATCTGATGACCACCATTGAGGGTAAGTGGGCAAATTCCACGGTGCAGATGAAATAGAAACTGAATTTAAACTGTAAAAATCTCACTTGTGCTAGTGGACAACAGTATGTATCATTGTAGCTTGAAATTGAATAGATAGGTCCTGATAAATTGTCCTCATCTGTTTGTATATACACCGTGGAAAATCGTCGGTCTTAACTGCTAATTAAAATCCAGCCTCCTGCATGTCCTCAGAAATTACTGCCTGGTTATCCACGTAACGTGAAGGTTGCATTTCTAAATTTACCGCACTAACATATTTTGGATGGATACATTCAATGCCCTATAGTCTTAAGGGCATTTCAATCTCATATTCATTTATTTCCTTTATTACTGAAAAATATTTGTCTTTGGGATATGTTATAGCTGCTCAATTCTATTTATAAAAAAGTACTTTCTCTACTGCAGTAGTGTTTAATGTTGAATTGCATTTATATTTAAACATCTTAAAACGTTCTATATTCTTTGGCTGGCTAGACTGTTCTGATATTGCTGAACACGTCTAATTATTGTGTATTGTGTATGATCCTTTTATTTGTGAACTTTTACAGCTGCTTCTCCTGAGATCCTAAAGGACACCAGTGGCGGCATGAGTATAGACTCAGGATTTGTCAAAACATTTTCCTAATGTTTTCACACAAGGAAAACTTTACTACTTTTACATTAAGACTAATCTAATTGATATGTTGTAAATGTTGAGGTTTCTTACTGCTTATGTTTGTTTTGATGGAACAAAAGCTTCCTTGGGGATGCAGTGTGCTATTGACTTGTTTTTACACTCGTCATAATAAGCATGTTAGAGAGCATAGTAGCTAATTTCAAAATCTGAAGTAGCCACTTAAGTAATAGATGTTCTCCCAGTGTTGTCAGGGTGAAAACATTTTCCTAACTACAATATTTGGGCACCTTAATACTTTCAGATAATAATAATCCTTGCATTTGATATAGCCTTAGCAAGGCACCACAAAGTGCTTCACAGAAAATACTGTAAAGTGAATTGACTGTATATTTTGTGGGTAAAACGCGACAGCCAATCGTGCACAGCAGTGTCGCACAAACAGTTGGGGATGGAGTAACCAAATATTTTTATTTTTTGAAGGGATTATTACCCCTAGAAAAGTGATCCGACAATCGACTAACATTTGGGTTCCTATTTACTACTAGGTGAGCCGAGGTGTTTGGAGTAAGGAAGCGTGCCCAACGTTTCGCTCTGCCCGGAAATCGAACCCAGGTCCTCTCGCTTGCGAAGCGAGTGCTCTAACCACTAAGCTACAGGGACTTCAGATGTAGTATTCTGACTAGTAAAAAATGGACTGTCAGAAGCTATTATCAGTACCTAGAGAAATATTCATATAAAATCTTGAACTAAGCCCACAGCAATATTTTAGTCACTTTGTCTTACTTTCACCCTTTCCCCTAGCAAAGATGTTAATTTTCTTAATAGGAACGGTCGTAGTTCATCCTACATTATACAATACTTGGGGCAGAGGTAAAGGTAGGATTTTTAAATCCTACTGTCATAACAAATTGGCAAGTGCATTGCACCCTTTTTGATGGAGTAACTTCCATTGTTCTAACCATCAAAATATTTTGATCTTAGGTAGTTACTGTATTTTTAACCATCCCTACTCCTCTTTGTATGTTTTGCAGGAGACAGTCGGCGAGGAAAAAACATGGCAGATGACTTAGATATTGAAGCAATGCTCGAGGCACCTTACAGAAAGGAGGTGAGAAAGCAATGACATCCACACAGGTCATAAGTACAGAACAATATAGCACCATTTATGAAACTACTGCTGTGCAATACTCATTGAATTTCACAATTCCATAACCCTTTCATTTTAATGTTTACTGCATATAGAATACAAATATTTCACTACATTTAAGTAAAGTTTTTCTTTACTGTTGAGCTGGTTCTGCAACTAGAAATGAGTTCTTTTTTGCAGTAGTTTCGAGTAGAGTGATGAATAAATGCCCATCTATCTCTTTTTGTAGACTTGCCTAGTGATATCACATCTCTACTACCATGAATACAGCTTTGATTCCAGTCTGAACTATCAAACAATAAGGTAGTAATTGCGTGAAGTATCGCTGTTCTGTGGTACCCAGGGTAAAAACCCAAAGCCCAAGAAAAGATGGCCTATTCTTTGGTATAGCAACAAGGTGAAAGTACGGTTTTAAACAGTAAACTTATTGCATTTTAGTATCAAGGAGTAGATGAACTGTAAACACAACAAAATCCGTAATGTAGAGCTTTTAAAAAAAGCTAATGTTCTGCATGCAAAGAAGTTTCACAGAACCTAAACATGTAAGCTATATTCATTTGTTAAATTTCAACGTACCTGTATATAATGTATATATTGATAAATTAAACTTCTACAGAGAAACGGGGCCCTGTTTACACAGAGAAATTGAGTTATTCGTGATTGGAAGCTTATAACATGGCTAGTTTGGCCATCTCGTGCAGGCTGGGTTCAGGAAATTCACATGGTGGGCCATTGAACGAACTACTGAGAGTGCAGGTGGTACTGCTAAATGTTGTCCAGACTGGGCTAAAATCATTCTTCATGGAACTGACGCTGATCTATATGGTACCCTAAATTATTTTGGGACTTCTTCCCTTCCCTCTGAACTAAATTATGTTCAGTTGAGAGAATTTGTGGTGTTTTGAGCAGCTTGCAATAATTGTGAATTGTCTCGATTAATGAAGCAGAATGTAGTGATGATACCATTTCCTTTTGGTATTTTTTTAAATTAAAACAAATCTGACAAAATTTGAGTGACTTTATTGTTTAGGAAGTGTTTGTAAGGCAGCTTCACATGTACATTGCTTCAGAGGTTAACACCAAAGAGAAATATTAAAGTGATGAACTTTTGTGAAATGTAGGGATTCTCGTCGCCTGCTGTTCAGTAGTTTTTAAACACAGCCTCCGTAAACCTACCAAATATCCATCTAACTTTGAACCCTAGAAGGTAAATTGTAGATTCTCTTCTGTAGGTAATGTACATTTGTTGTAACTGATTAGTGTTTCACAACATAAATGCATTATAAAAAGTGGTCAATGTGTTTTAAGTCAAACTCCACAAACTGCAGAACAAATGCATAATGTTTTTTGTCTGTTCTAACACAATATTTTGTTTTGCCCAGCTCAAGGCTTGACGGTCATTTCTTCTAGCCGCATAACTGCTGCCATAATGTTTATGTAACATTAACACATACCTTTATGGTAAGGCAGAAACCATATTAGGATATACATTCCTGTTCTGCCTGTCTGTAAAATACATTTAAATGCAGTCACCAAAGTGGCTCCTCGGAAGAAAATAAATGATATTTATCAGTAGCTGCTTGTTTAACATTACAGAACATTTGTGTTTTAACTCTGGTCCATCATTAACATTATGGATATTTTCTAGAGGAAATTAGCTGAAGTACAAAGGTTTATTTAGCCTACAGCTGGAATTCAGACTTTTTTATGTTTTTGTTAGGGAACAGCATTTGACCTATCGCACAGGTGCAGTAATGACATTTTATAGATTTCCATGATCGGTAAAGGGTTTACAGTGGATGGACAATTTGCTAATAGTGTTAATTTACTATTACCTTCAAACTATTCATTCATGTTTGTGCTGCACAATTTATTTTATTAGTGGGGTCTTTTTACTATCCTTAAAATGCAAGTGCGTTTTTTTAAAAAAAATCACTCATGGAATTACTTTCCCTGGAGTGATGGACCTAAGCTTGGATATTCGTGACCTATCTTTCATATATTTAAGACCATAATTAGATCTTGATGTGATTCGTCAAGCTTTGTCGCTGCAAAATAGCCTGATTGTGTTTGAATGGTGTTTCCTTTAGTTACCTGGTTTAATATGAATAATATTCCCTGTGTAAACAGGACCACATTTATAGGGAATGATTAGGCTGAACTGGTGGATTATTGACGACTTCAGATTTCTTGGGAATCGGCGTTACTAAGAGGTGTGATTCCCTGTTTGCTTCAGGGCGAGATGTGTGAGAGAGGTGACTTCGAGCTCTTACAGTCGCACCCTTCCAGCACAAATGGGCGAAGACGTGAGGAACAGGATTGGTCGCAGGAAATCGTCTGTGGCTTTCTAACACAGCCACACTTGTCTTAGGCATACTTTTAGCACTGGTACTGATCGTTGTGTCAGTAGCAGCAAGAAGATTATCTTACCCTCCTATCTTCCTAAAACCTAATATATAACTTGTGTAATTAAAATGTGTAATGTTTATAGAAGGGTCCATTTCAAAGAAACTTTAGAGTTTCTTGTAAAAGTAATATCTTTTAAATGATTATGTTCTATATTTTCTTATTCCCTCTTCCCTTCCCCTCACGACTTGCAAAATGTTTCCCCTTCGTCATTCTGATGTTCTTCTGTCGACCTGCCTAGGATGAGAACAAATCGAGCAAAGCCAATGGACAAGAGGAGCGTAGTAAAAAGTAAGTACTCTTAAGTTGTAGTGTAAACTTAGAATATAAAGTAAATTAAAGTAAATTCTAGAATTCTTTGCTCAAAAGACTAGGTCCATTCAAATTTACAAGACTATGGATAGATTTTTGTTAGGTCAGGGTATCAAGGGATATGGGGCAAAGGCGGGTATTTGGAGTTGAGGTACAGATCAGGGATGATCTAATAGAATGCTGGATCAGGCTCAAGGGGCTGAATGGCTTACTGTTCCTATGTTCCTAAGTTGTTCCAAGTACTGTTTTGAAAGCTTCACTGCAATTTATGCATTTGTTACCAACTGATCTGCAGCTTAGGAAATTTCAAGAATTCAATTACATTCTTTTGTCAGTTTTTACTGAATCTAGAGTTGCTACTGGATCCAAATTTGGTATTTGGATGATCTAAAATAAAACTAATTTTTTTTTACATTAAGAAAAGGGGGCACTGTCCTTAAAAGGTTTGACAGTAGACCTAATATTCTATGCTGTTTGGACTTGGTAGTAGAGTGTTATGTAGTCTGGTTTGTACTTCCTATTCCACGTAACTTTAACTCAAGCTGAAATGTTTAAAATCACCGAAATTGTGGGTTTGTTTTTAAAGAGCCATTTCTGTGACTTGTTTTTTTATTAAATTAGCCCAGTACCATGCTTGTACTGGTTGGGTGCAAATTTTGCTGCTTCTGAAAGCATCACCTTGTCACGTTGAATATAGCAATAGAATGACACACAACAACAACACAATGACATTTGTAAAGCGCCTTTCACGTCGGGAGGAAGTCCCAAGGCGCTGGACCGACAAAGTTACAGACCCGAGCTGGGAGTCGGGGAGGGTGGAGGGCAGACAGAATCAGGGAGATCGAAAGTACGGTTGAAGAGGAGGCTTTTGAGATGGATCTTGAAAGAGGCAAGGGAGGCGGCGAGGCAGAGGGACTGTGGGATGGAGTTCCAGAGGGTGGGGGCAGAGTGGCGGAAGGCCCACCCGCCAACAGTGGGGCGAGCAAGGTGGGGGAACGTGAAGCAGACCAGAGCCCGCTGAGTGGAGGCAGCGAGCTGGATGGTAGGTGGTTAGGAGGTCGCAGAGCTCGGGGGGAGCAAGACCATGGAGGGCTTTGGAGGTGAGGGCCAGGATCTTGAACTGTATCCTCTGTGTGATGGGAAGCCAGTCGAGTTGGGCAAGTATGGGGGTGATGGGGTCATGGAGCCGAGTGCAGGAGAGGACACGGGCTGCAGAGTTCTGGATGATCTGCAGCCTATGAATATTCACACCCAAGTTGAATGGCATTGATACTGTATTTGGGGTTTCAATAGCTGCTGCAGACTTTATTAGAAGACTTATTTCCTCAATTGTTTTGAAAATGGAGACAATTTAAATTTTGTGTATGTATACATAGTCACTATTTTTGGTACAACAGCTTATCGATCTTGACAAGGATTATTATTATTGCTAATTGTTCTTAGTGGGGCTCCAGTGTGAATTTATAACCTGAATCCCTGTGAGTATGCCATGTTCAATTCATGATTATTCTTACCCCAGACGTGCAATTGATTTATACCACTTTGAAAGAGTCATGAATTTTTATATAATTCAGGCAAAGTCAGCTTGTTCACGGTCTGCGATTGAAGGGGGATAAATTCAGAAGGATTCTACGCAAACACGGTTTCAGTGACCGATTAGCGAACCTGTTGAACAGGCTCCCTAGGGAGATGGTTGAAGCAAGAAGTGTTGATTCTTTCAAACACAGATTAAATAGTTTTCTTTTAGGCAATATCAGGGGATGCAGTACATAGGCAGTTTGGGACATATGCGACCATCTAGAAGGTGAACTCGATGGACCGTGGTCTATTTTTCGTCTAGTATTTCTTATGTTCTTATTATGTAAGTTGTAAATAGTAATTTGCACCATTACACTGAGGATTCAATCTGTTTACAGTGAGGTCTATAATCTTGGTGGACAAATCGAAGTATTGTCTTTCCACTGTAAGGGTGGACCAACAGAATCAACACACTGAGCACAATATTGAAGCCGTTCTAAGTGGTTGGCGGTTTCAGGTGTGAGTGTGGACAGGCTTAAATCAAATTAAGTTAGGTTGAAGTATAGCATCTGATAACTCGGTAAGTGTAGTATAGTAACTGTACATTAAGGCAGTGTTACAAAAACAAAAAAAATTAGATTTGTATAGTGTCTTTCATGTTGGGACTGTCCACAAATGATTTATTATTTCTTCAGAAAGAAAAAGAGCCGAAGTCGGAGTCACAGCCGTGAAAGGAAGAGAAGCAGAAGCAAAGAACGCAGGCGCAGCAAAGAACGTGAAAGGAGGAGGAGTAGGAGCAAAGAAAGGAAAAGCAGAGAGCACCGTCGCAGTCGAAGCAAGGATCGGCGAAGGATAGAGAGAGGCCGCTACAGGAGCCCATTGTACGTTCCCTTATTTGTAGTTTCTAAATTTGTTATAAGTAACAACTTTGAACCATGAGTTTTTTTGTGATTGCAACAATGGTTCCAAAAATGTTTTTTAAATTAAGACTTTTTCATTGTTAGAAAGTAAGTGTTAAATGGAAAGAAATGTATGAAATTTTGTGATCAGATAGATAGATAGACACACACACACACATAGATATGTGTGTGTGTGTGTATACATATATATATAGGGCTGCTGTAGAAGGGATCTTGTCTTATAAACTTGTATACTGCTGATTTGGCTTGGGGATAAGTACCAAGCATAAGTGCAAGTGATTGCATGAACCTGAGGTATACCAGAAGTATACCAAATTTTCAAGACTGAAGTGGATAGGTATTTTTTAGGTATCCCTGTATCAAGGGATATGGGGCAAAAGTAGGAAATTGGATGAGGTACAGATCAGCCATGGTCTTGTAGAATGTTGAAATAGGTTTCTGTTCCTGTAAGGCCAAGCACAGCAGGATTCTGTAACTTTAACAGCAACCTCAAGAGTTGTAGTGAATGGCTGATATATAACGCAATGTAATGTTCATGGCACAGTTTCATTTTAAGGATCTCAGCTAGCTGGGCTGAACTTTTTTTTAAGTCAAATTTTCAGCTATTTCTAATTGATTTTTTTACAACGCAGGGAATGTTTCTTCTATTAGCAATCAAATGAGCTTTTGATAAATATGGGAAAAGAAGTAATACCCTATATAAGATTACCTCAGGCAAAATGTTGAATTGCTACTGCTTTGGAAGTTGACTGTTGGGTATATATTCATGTAAATTCTTTCTGTGCCATCTTTATTTACCTAGTTTGGAGAAGCGACTTATGTAAGTACATGTAGTGTATTTTGATTTTCTCCATTTTGCGATTTTACCCTATCTGTCATTAAGCCTTTTAATTAACTTTGTGAGAAGGAAGATGCATAGCACTATCAAGTCTGTTGATGAGCTTTGGTTGATAATTCTCAAGAATTAAGAACCCGTCACAAACCTTGTCTGCCTTTTACATTCAAACTCATCTGGAAATGGACCTGAATGGAATTATTTCCACAAATAAATATCACTTCAGGAGCTTTTGGAAGTAGTTGTGGGTCTCAGAATTTTATAACTTGCCAAACAACTATTATCAAGATTATTTAGCTCAGTTGAGGAGCGAGCTATTTTGGGATTTGTGTTGTCAGAACATCTGACAGCATAGTTTAATGACGTAAAGCTATAAAAAAAATTGTCCATTCAACAAGACGCTGACTGTCAGATGTGTTTCTTCCTCCTCCTACACCTAAAAAAAACTGCTTTTCCTGCAATGTATACTTTCATAACAAATCCTTGGGTAATGAGAATAACCTCAATTTGCTTTTCCATACTCCCATGTTTCAAGCAAATCTCTGAAGAATTGAATTGCGGTTAAACAAAATTAGGGGGGCACTGAATCAGAGGAGGGAGACTTTTTAAAGAGAGCTTGACATATTATGCAACAGGCTGATCCCTGACAAGTTGAATTCATTTAGGTTCAGATGAATGGCAGATATTGTATATTAAAAGTAAAAATAACAGATATGGGATGGGATAGAATTTGCCAAGAGAGTGCAAAGAGACTCATCACTTATCAAGTCGAAACAGTGAACAAAACAAACATGATGTTGGGTAGCTGATTCGAGCTGTGCTGTAGGCCACATTTAAAGTACTGCATGTATGTCTTGATCTTAGAGGTGCTGCCCAAACACAGATAGTGAAGAGGAGAGCAATAAAACTAAGCCTAAATTTAATCCTTGTGTTAGGGGGATGAGCTAACAAATGGGAAAAGATGTCTCAAGGAGGATTATAAAGTACACAAAATGTTCATTGTGATTGAAAAAGTAAACCTAGAAAAATACCTTCAGATACACCTTTGGCAGTGCACAAGATTAGGGTTATCATGGATATTGAAGCAGAAGTATTTCTTTGCATGGTGGTTAATCAACAACTAGAATGAGTTACCAGGAAAGGGTGGTTAAATACTGGATGTTCAAGAAATGATTTGATACGGTAATGGATAGGTAGCAGTATCAGTACTTAGGAAGAGCTAGATAAAATGGGACAAATGTGAAATTGTAGAATATATGGACTTCCAAGAAGCAGTGAATTGCAGACACTCGTTTTCCGGTTGCATCTGTGATGCGCTTGAATAGTTTTAAAAGTTTGAAGAATTGACTATATCAGGGACTGGATTAGTCACGCTTGATTTATTTTTGGATCATAAATGGTCCAGTGACTGGTGAAAAAAAGCCATTTAAAATTCAAATGCATAATTAGTTTTTGTTGAGCATTATTCGGAGACTGTCCATAGGACTGGGCGTCCGTTAATGCTATTGTGGTAACCAGTGATTTCCTGGATCTTGACTAAAGTTTGTACTCTGATCGCCAACACAAAACCTAGGGTTCTTTTAGGAAACTCATCACTTGTCTCTGTAATAACTATAAACAGCACTAATGCATTTTCATCAGCTGTGTGTTACCTTCCCTGCAACCGATTTCAAAGTGAATAATTTATTCTGTTTAGCTGCACAGAATATCTTGCATTCAGTCCAGTTTTTGTTTGCCATTTTAGTATTTTGCATGTCGGGTTTTCCTTTGTAATTTGATGTGCTTTTTGATTGGCTTTATTAATTACCTTCATCACTACTTTGAATGGAGGTTGTTGTGACGTCCTTGATTTAGTTATGCTATTAAAGAATTAAATGAATGCCATCCCTATTGATTCATGCATTTAAAATTGATTTGTGTCAATTCTGTGTATATTGGTCATCAGAATTCTGTATAGTGGGGACTGGGACAGCATCAAAGGTGGGGATTCAAACTTTAATTTACACTAAATTAGAATGGGGGAAGAAATATTTGATTTTTAATTTGTGTTACTGTATTTGTTATTGAATTCAATTTGTTTCTACTTTGCTAAATACAGGCAGTTGGGAATATAATGAATTTGAGCCTTTATATGAATCCCAGCCCTGCTGAAAATGTGTCCTGTGATTATAACTAGCTCTGTGTTTTATTTTTAACTTTAGCTCCGGGCCGAAATTTGGTGGTGGTGGTGGAAACATGGGCAGAGGAAAGATGGGCATGCAGCCTGGCATTAAAATCAGGTAGGACTTCAATTAAGTCTATTTATGAAAACTGGTTTTAATGGCAGCTCTTCTTTATTTGTGTGACTTTTTCGAAAAAAGAATTCTTAAATAGCCAAATTGGGCCTTTGCAGGTCATAGGTTTCAATTAGCATATCTGGAGTAGCAGTTTACGACAATTGGCCTCTGTCCTCCTGGTTAATGGAGAAAATTGTTTACGGGGTGGGGGGTTGCTGTTGGACCCGTTTTCCACTAGGTTTCACTAAAATTCACTTTCTGTAAAGTTTGTTGTGTCTATTTTGTTTATTTTACAGGAATGTGGATCGAACATAGTTTTATGGATACTTTCAATGTTGTTGTGATTTTTCTTTCCTACCTAGAATGTTTACTAACTCTTTGCTTTTGTCTTGAAATTCTGAAGTCGTCGGCGTTCCAGAAGCAGAAGCCCACATAAAAGGGATAAGAGCCCAATAAGGTTTGTTTGCAGAGGAATGTTCTCAAATTTTGACTTTCTTAATTCTGTTCATTAGCTAATCCAAATGAGCTGCAACTACTCGAGACCGTGCTCTGTGAGAGTCCGAGATATGTCTTTTGAAACCGAGTCTCCGCATGCACCTCCTGTGATGCAACTCCTGATGTAGTCCAGGAGGTTCTGGTCTATTGGGTTTAGAAATGGTTTTGTGAAAACAATATGACAGAATATGAGCACATGTCCTGGCTAACAATTTACTAGATTGAAAAAAAATTGGCTTATCAACTTTATTAGCTTTGTAAGATTATATATCTACAAATGCGGTCACTACACATTACAGAAAACCGAAGCCCTTTGAGGCATTTTGACGTGATGAGGCACTATCGGGTGCAAAGGTTATTATTTGCTGATAGTCCTACCAGTTAATTTGCTCATTTAGTCACACAATCCTAGTAAAGACCTGCACTTTAAACCAGTTTGGTGCTGATTATGTAGAATTTATGAATTTTTGTAAAACTGTTTCAACGTCTAAGAAGAATTTTGCTTTTAACAGAGAGCCAATCGATAACATATCACCTGAGGAAAGAGATGCCCGCACAGTGTTCTGCATGCAGCTTGCAGCACGCATTCGACCGAGAGACTTGGAGGAGTTTTTCTCTTCTGTGGGAAAGGTAGAATCTTTGCAATTAAACAATATTACTTTTGTGGATTTGCAAAAGTGAGCCTTAATTCAAAAGGGTAGCGTACCTCATGTATGACTTTAGTTTTTAAAGATTGTCTGTTGCTTGTCCCATTCAGATGTATGGAAATGTCTTTTTTCTGGCGTGTACTGGGTCTGTTTTCAGAAATACAGGTAAGGTTCAGTGCAAGTGCTGAGAAAGCCTTATTGAGGTGAGGCTGTTGAAATCAAAAACATAAGCTGTTGGGGATCATGTTAAATGTTGGTTGAGGTACTTAATGACAGCTAATTGAGCACACAAATGTCTCGTACTTTGGGTGGAGCAGCAGTTGATGTGGTGTGAAAGGTATATAATGAGATTGTTGAGGTGGGGTGTTGTGTGCAGGTTGAGCTTGCGTTCTGTGTTTTATGAATGCTAGTGTCTTATTTTCAAGTGTATTGATTTTGAAATAGGTTTAGTGAAATAAAATCCAAAATCACCTAGGATTTTTGTTTAAGATCCCTGCAACCCTGAAGTATCTTCTGAATTTATCTGGAAGTGTGACATTGAAGAATTTCTAATGGACTATGATGAGGGGATGTGAAGCATTGGGTTCATTGTGGGAAATAATTTCTGGCGAAGAGTGGTTTGGTTGCAAGGGTTGTAGGTTTATGATGAGACCTGCTTAAATTCAGGCATAATAATAAAACAAACTTAGTGGGTGTGTTCCTAATTTATTATCCCTGATTCTCATTCCATTCTGTAACTGAAAGAATAGGTATTATTCTGGAATGAATTTCTTAAAAGTTAAACATTTGAAGAAGGAAAATCTAGCCAGGAGTACTGTGATCGCTGTTACTTTTATTTAGGGTACTTAGTTCTGTTAAATCACAAAACTGATTAGTAAAAGCATATTATTTGTATTTACACAGGTTCGAGATGTGAGAATGATATCGGATAGGAACTCTCGGCGTTCAAAGGGAATCGCTTACGTGGAGTTTGTTGATGTGAGCTCTGTCCCACTTGCAATTGGTCTGACTGGGCAGAAATTACTTGGTGTTCCAATTATTGTTCAAGCTTCACAGGTAGGAGGCTATCTCTTAATTTGGGGGATTTGTTGTGTTTGAACATTGATAATTATAATACAATACAAAATTACATTTACACAGTGCCTTTCACATTGGGAAGACGTCCCAAGGTGCTGGACAGTCAGGTATTTGGACCTGAGCTGGAAGTCGGGATCAAGAAGGGTGACCGAAGGATCGGTCGAAGAGGAGGGTTTTGAAACACGCCTTAAAGGAGTCGAGAGCAGGGTGCGAGGCGAAGGGAATGTGGGATGGAGTTCCATAGTGTGGGGGCAGAAAGGCTGAACGCCAATGGTGGTCCTAATTGGTCACGGTCATAATTTTCAGCTTTACGTCACGTTTTTAAGGGAGAATTGTGCAATATGGTTCAGTTCTGAATGTGGTTCATTTATGTACTTATAACAGGCTGAGAAGAATCGAGCTGCAGCCCTTGCTAACAACCTTCAGAAAGGAACTGCAGGACCAATGAGGCTATACGTAGGATCTTTGCACTTCAATATCACTGAAGAAATGCTGAGGGGAATTTTTGAACCCTTTGGGAGAGTAAGTATGATTAATACAAGAATGCAGGAATTCAGTTATAAAGCATTTTTTCAGGTCCACAAACTGCACCATCATCTTATAACATGTGGCTTCCCTTCCTGTGTATTGTACACTTGTGCCGTAGCCTGAATACTTACGGTCTGGTCTGTGTTGTGACTCCATTCCCATTCTAATGCGCTATCACCACACTTTAATAACAGCTAAAAGCTTTGTAATGCTTTGGGGTGATTATACTTATATTCATTAAAACTAGAGAGTAATAAGATCCTATATGGAATGTAGATTTATACAGACAGACATTTTGTCTTTATCTATACTCAGCTGGGTATAATCAAAGCTACGCTAACCAAGGGGGTTTGCTGAGTGATCCGGCAGATCCTTGAGTTATTGGAAGGCAAAAATACACCTTACATTTTTTACAGAATACATTAGTATAGATGTATCTCTTTAGGATGTGGCTACTTTGTTGCAGAGCCCATGGATACCATGACAAGCATACCGCATGTTAGTGCTTAATTAAAGTGGAGTCCTGTAGCTCAATGGTTAGAGCACTCGCAATCCAAGCGAGATACCTGGGTTTGATTCCTGGCAGGGCGAAACCTGGGGCAAGTTTCCTTACTCCACATGCCTTGTTAATAATTCCTAAAAAAAAAAATGGTCATTTCAATCTACAGCTGTTTGGGGGACACTGCTGTGCGCAATTGGCTGCTGCATTTCGCCCACAAATATACAGTCAATTCACTTTACAGTCTATTTCTGTCTAGAAGATGTGAAAAGTGCTATATCAAATGCAAGGATTATCATTATAAAACATTTTTTAAATATAGCTCGACAACGATAGGAGATCCCTAAAAAAAACTGTCCATGGCACTCATGAATGCAAGACCTTTCCAATGAAGTATAAATCATGTCTTTATATCAATCGGTAGACAGACACACAGTTACTTTGTCTTTAATAGTATAGATGTTCCATGAGCATAATGGTATGCAGTAGTTTCTAATGTTGATTTATGTTTTACTTTAGATTGAAAACATACAGCTAATGATGGATAGTGAAACTGGTCGGTCAAAAGGCTATGGATTCATAACGGTGAGTATGGTTTGTGTTTTAAGTTGCAGTGAAATTTGATATGAACAGTTTTATGTTTTAAATAGATTTTTACTTTTGAGTTTGTGCATCTTGATTTGTGCATTTTAAGTTTCACCTTCAATTTGTAAATCAAATTTTTGACCAGGAAATANTTTTTTAAACTAATGGTCTCTTTTCTGTTCTCTTTAGTTTTCTGATGCTGAGTGCGCAAAGAAGGCGTTGGAGCAGCTGAATGGCTTTGAGCTTGCCGGTAGACCAATGAAGGTCGGTCATGTTACAGAAAGGTCAGATTCATCAAACGCTAGCTCATTCCTGGATAGTGATGAGCTGGAAAGGACCGGTATTGACCTTGGAACCACAGGGCGCCTCCAATTGATGGCTCGACTTGCAGAAGGTAGCTTGCTGGGAGAGGAAATGACAAGTTTTTAAAAATTGCTTGTGGTTAGTTACTGATAGAAAATTTCAAGGTTGATTTGTTTTATTATCCACAAAATAAAATTCAAAATCTGAGTTCAGTGACAGCATCTAAAACAGAATCTATTTTATCTGCCGCTTCTGTGCTGTTTATCCTCGTGAAGTTGTTTCAATGGAACAAGTTAAAGCTGATTTTTTTTTTCAAAGCAAACACAGAGCTGTAGTGAATGCTTATCATAAATCATTCACCCACTAAATATGCACTTTACTGTATATTCTAAAGCGCTTTGACACGTCTCGAAGATATAAGACGCTATATCAGATGCAAGGGTTATTATTATCAAATAATTGCTGTTTTGGCAATACAAATTTAGTTGTTGTTGCTTTACTCTTGCACTTTTCCATTCATAAGACTTATTATTTTTGACAGTTTAACCCATATAGGTTTAGCTGTTTTTGATTCTTCAAGGTTAAATGAAAATTTCTGTACATTACATAAAAGATGTTATTCATCAGAGGCTTTGGTTCATATTTGGCTCATGTATGTTAATTATATGTTTTCAGGCACAGGCTTGCAGATTCCCCCAGCGGCTCAGCAAGCATTGCAGATGAGCGGCAACATATCATTGGGCGCCATGGCCGCTGTAACAGGTAAGGTGCCATTTCAGTATTCTTATCCAGTAAACTGTTCTATCTCTGAATTGACTTGGGTTTTAATAATAAATCCACTTCATTTCAGGTTATAGAATATTACAGCACAGAAGGAGGCCATTTGGCCCATCATGCCAGTGCCAAATCTTTGGAAGAGCTACCCAATCAGTCCCACTCCCCTGCTCTTTCCCTATATCCTTGCAAATGTTTCCTTTTCAAGTACCTATCCAATTCCCTTTGAAAGTTGAATCTATTTCCACCACCCGTTCAGGCAGTGCATTCCAGACCGTAACAATTCTCTGGGTTAAAAAACATTTCTTAAATCTATGTCCCCTGGTTCTGCTGACCCAGCTCCCAGTGGAAACAGTTTCTCCCTATCTAATCTATCAAAACCCCTCATAATGCATTTTCATTATAAAGGTCAGTTTAGTGTCTTCTGATATCGCAATATTTCATTGTCTTTGACGTTTTAGTTGCTGACAAGGAAGTCATAAAATCAAGGAAGTATCTAATCTTTGTACAATAATAAAGTTTATACTGTGAATTGGATTTTATGAACAATTTGAGAGACTAAGTCTCAGGCCAGTAGTGCTGCAGTGCTTTGTTGCAATGCAGTATTGATGTAGTAAACTTAGTAAAGTACACATTGGAAGGTAGAAAAGAAATTTTGTGATGGTTCTCATTATTAAGCACTTCCCCATTGGTGTGAATTAATTTTTTTCTTTGTTTTATACTCAGATTTGCAAGCCCGGCTTATCCAGCAGACTGAAGGTACTTTTATTTTTGCTAGTTGTTGTTGGGCAATTCATAGTTATGAAAAGAGGAAGGAGTTTCTCCTGGTGGCCCAGACAACAATCCCCAGATAAAATTTATCATTCACTTCATGGCTACTTGTGGAACGTTGCTTGGTGCAGCATTCGCCCACAAAATACACACTTTACAGTATAGCCTGTGAAGCCTTCAAGGTGTCTCAACAACGTGTTAATGTGCTATATCAAATGCATATTACTATTCTAAATTATAGAGCTAAATAGTCATGCCAGCTTCATTTACTTGCCTTCAACTGTATGTATATTTTAGTCCAAATTTACTCAAGTTTAAGCTTGATCCTCGTCTATTATTTTCCTATGGTGGCTATTCCCACTTTATGAGCAACCACCATATTACACAATGTAAGGAAATGATGTACAACAGTTCAAGACAGGATTTTATATGCAGTGTTTAATGTCTTATTTCAAACAGGATTTTTAACCTATTATAATTTGATTTTCAGCTTTAAATCCTCCTTTGGCTATGTCAACACCACCAATAGCAACACAATGTTTCCAGCTCTCCAACATGTTTAACCCACAATCGTAAGTAACTTCAACTTCCATCAAAGGAAAGAGTTGCTATATTTTTGTGGATCACAATCTAGAATATCTTATCTTTAATCTGTAAGCTATTGTTCTTTAAACATTTCTGCCACATGCACTGAAGGCTTTTAGAAACTTAGAAAAGAAACTCTTCAAATTAAGTCGAATATATTGCACATCAAGGTCTCCACATCACACTCTGATTGTTTGTGAAACTTCATTCTTTAGGGAAGATGATCCAGCTTGGGACCAAGAAATCAGAGATGATGTCATTGAAGAATGCAACAAACATGGAGGAGTAATTCACATATTTGTGGACAAAAATTCACCCCAGGTGAGCATCTATTGTTTTGGTTATACTTTATAGCTTTGTATTTATTGTCTCAATTATGGTATGAATTTGCTGTCAGCCGCACTGCTGAAATTGGCGTACAGAATCTTATGGAATATTCCCCCTGTTGTAGCAAGTTTCAGTTAGTGAGCAGTAGCTTTCTGTGAGCACCTTCAAGGAGCTTGTTAGGGTCACAATTGAAAATCTAGAATTTCCATGGGTTGGTTGATAATTTCCCATTGCAGTAAATCACTGCCTTACTGGATTCCCGAGTATCTGGAACTTGAACCTAGCCAGCCCGGGCCCGAAATAAAAAAAAAATCTACGGTCCCTCGTGTAGCCTCTTAACTCTTCTAGCTCACACCAACACTGAGCATGAATTTCTTAACACCCATGTAAAAATTTGCACACATAAGGAAACCTGCAGTGCTGAAAAATGATGGTCAATGCTAGTACCGGCATTGTAATTTTGCTTAACCAGAACTTCCTGCTCGCCAGTCCGGCTGATAATTGGTGACCCTGCGGATGTTTGGTCGGAGACATTCTTGGATTTATACTCTAGCCTGAATTGATGTCTTCATAAGAGAGAGAAACAAATTGAGATATTTTGTAGGTAGTATGGATCACATAAACGATGTTCACTTTTTATAGTTGCAGAAAGTGCTGAGAGTCGATCTTACTTGGAACATAATTTTCTTATATGAAGAGAATAGGGCAGTAAACATTTCAATATTTCTGCAACATTGTTTTATCAATTGGTTTTAGTATCTCAAAGATCTGGTAAGTTATTAGGATGGCCAGGGTTATGGTGTCCATATATCAGGAACCCCCATCAGCAGTATACAATAGGAAACTGGACTGAAAATGAGATGTACCAGATTTTACAAAGTAGATTATTCAACCCAAGTGATTATGATCAAAAGGAAAACCAGTTGCAGAGTTCAAGAATGACCATTGCTTAATGGCAAAAAGATTAGCTCAGGTCATCCCATCAAAACTTTCTGCTTCGGATACTTTGAAGAAAGCTTTGTAACTCATGTTATCTTCTGTCACAGATGAAACTAGTATTATAACTAGAGTGGTCAATGGGTGTAATATTTTTATTTGATAGACTGGAGTGCTAAGTTGCCTTGATGTTTTTCAGGCTTTCTCTCTGACCTGTAATTCTTGAAAAATTCTTTGTCAGAATTGTGATGGCAACATCTAATGTCAAAAAATAGTGTAAGTTCGCTGATCTTCCTTTCCCCCTCCCCCACAAAGCAGCCTTTTGATTTGTATCTTGGTAATTTGTTGGGGCTTGCGGTGGTAGCATTGGACTGACGTTCCTTCTGCTTCCTTTCTTCAGGGAAATGTCTACGTGAAGTGTCCCACTATAGCTGCGGCTGTTGCTGCTGTTGGAGCCTTGCATGGAAGATGGTTTGCAGGTAAGTACTTTGGGTTGCGATCTTTGGCTTCTCTTAGGCTATGAATTGTATATTTCTTTATTGCTCCTTCCGTAAAATCATCTAGATATTGGCCTGTATTCCTGTTCATGATCACTTATTTGTGGATGTGCATGGTGTTACACAGATCTTGGCTCATTTTGCTTCAGTAATGTCCTGTATGTTGCTGAACTCTCAATGGGGTCCTGTTTCATAAAATCATAGAATTATACAGCACAGAAGAAGGCCATCGTGTTTGTGCCACTGGCTCTATTACCACATCCTAATCATTTGGAGTTGGAATATATTAAAATGCTGAGTTAGTAATTAACATTTTATTGATTAAATGTGCGTTGGGAGTGGGGGGGGGGTGGTCCTAGGATTTGATCTGATATTTTGTGTAGATTCCCAGTTATGTTGGTATTTCTTCTGTTAATAGAATTTTGTGTTTACAACCCTAACTTGGATTTTTATTTCATCAGGAAAAATGATCACTGCTGCCTACGTACCACTTCCAACCTATCACAACCTCTTCCCAGATTCACTGACAACCACCCAGCTACTGACCCCAGCAAGACGATAGATATTGGGGAGAGGGGATGGGGGGGGAAGGGGTTGAATTCGGGCAAAAATTCAAGGAATGTGGACAACTTCATAACTTCCTGCTGTACAGTTAATACAAATGAAAAGTACTGGAAAAATGACAAATTCCTACAGACTTGAGACGATTTTTTTTTCAATTTTGCCAAGCCCTAGTGGAAGAAAATAAAATGGCAGACATGTAGATTTACACAAGCATCCTATGGCTAATTACTTACTTTGTTACCTTTTTTTGACTGCACAGTAGCATTGATCATCTGATGGGCAAAAAGAAAAGCTGTCTATTAGCATTGCAAAGCAGTCCCCGCCTTGTGCGGGACTGAAGTTATTTTGTGGTTTCTGTGATAAGACTACTGCAAGTCAAGTAGACTCCATAGGAATAGTACTGCATTCTTGTTGTCTATTTTAAGTTACATATTTAGTTGATTTCATTGATCTTCTGATTGAACTTACCAGAAGAGCCTATTAAAATTTTAAAATATAAATTTTTATGTGAAAGTACTATTGTATCTAATGATAGGGTTGGAGACGGCTGTCTTTGAATACTTAAGTTGACCGTTTATTTCTATAACATCCTTCGCTGCTGTTCATTAAGTCCATGGTTAACCCTCAGAGCAAGATGTTGCATTTGTTGTGCTAACAGTATGGAGTTTGTTTGCTCAGCAGGGTATGGGTTAATAGCTCAAGTTACATTGTTTGTTTTCTGAATACTTGGCTGCTGAAGCAATCTGACAGGCAAGTTTGTATTGAGCATTGAAAGTTTCCTGGGACCCTGGGTAACAGTGGGGAATATAAAACACTGAGGTTTAAAAGAACTGGAAATGTGGCCCTTCTACCCTGTAAAATTTCAGGATGAGTTTTTCTTTATCACATATATATCTATACATTGTCTATATCCTAAAGTTCTATGGTGAGGGGATTAAGATGGCATTATCCAGACATTTGGATCAACAAGGATACACTGTAAGTTATAATTTGATTTATAATAATATGTTGAAAGAAATTTTCAGTCCACTTCCCCCCACTCTAAATTGAGAGTTAAACGGCAATACAGATATCAGCTATTTCACCACTTCTGACTTCTACAAGAAGGTATTCATCTGGGTTTGGCGAGCATACATATGACCAAAGTTGTGGCTTTTTCAAAACATTGCAGAAAGAAACATACAAAGTTCTAAATAGCCTTTGTGTACAGTTGGTCTTTAGGAAACTGTTTAAGATTAAAGCTATTGTATGTACAGTTTGCCTTATTTGGGTCTGTTTTCAGTGGTGACCTTTTTTCCCCCTTGAGCTTTTCTTCTGTAAATAGTTATAACAGTGATGTGCTGTCCCTGTGCTTCCATAGGATCTAGGCCAGACAAACTTAATCTTACCTTAATGTATATAGACTTTAGCAGAAGAGGAAAAAGAAACTCAGGAATAGTAACTGTTACCAAGTGGTAAAATATTAGCAACTTTTGTTCTTCAAAATAGAAAGGAAGCTGCAAACAACTGCAAATCTCATTAGTAAGGACACCCTGAACCAGTGAAGAGTATGTGCAGTTCCTATTTGGCAAAAAGGAAGCCTATTATTGGGTTGGGCTAACACAAGCAAAATATTGGTTCTTATTCATGATGGTTTGACTTTACATGACCACGCCTAAATTGTACACTGGACCTTATGTTTAACTGCATGTTTTTTTTTGCTGTTACTGTCCAATAATACAACAGCCAAATATAATTTGATCCCTTCTAATGAGTCTACATTTGGATACTGATAACAGGTAAGCTTAGTCTCTCTGTAATATTAACTGCATATGTTTGGACTGAATCCTAGAGGTCAAAGTAATTCTCACTGTCTTTGTTGTATAAAATCTCCAGCAGTTAAACCCATTGGAAAAGTTTAGTCGCAAGAATTTCTTTAATATAAATACCATATTAAAAAGCAATGAAGAATGAAAAGGGTAATAATAACTTTGTCTGGTCGTGCGTGGTGTCTTTTGCTGTTTTTTTTTAAGCTCTATGAGCTCTTAAGTGTAAACGTTACCCAATTCCCTTCTGTAGTGTGATTAAAACAGCCCGGTATTTCTATTCCAAAGTAATGATTTTGTAATTGGTACAAATTTTGTATAAAAAGGCAAAATCACTCTTAAATAAAAAAATGAAAGAAAAATAAGCTTTGGAAATCTGTGTTCCATGAATATTATATAAATGTTTTGTGTAATCCCCTTTTGACGATGGTGAGTACGTACTCCTAGATAAAACCAATGTATGATCCAGCAATGATTTGTCCAAGAAGTCCTTTCAATACAGCGTTCAGGCAGGTCTAAAAACGCATCCCCTTTGAAGGTGTTTATATTCCTGAATTGAATCTCCTTTCTTCTCCCCAGCCCCAAACCACACACCTCACAGAACAAATTATTTCATAATCTTTAACGGTTGAATTAGATTTTTTTGAAATGGACATATTGACCGTATTCTACACTAATTACAGTAACTGACTGTTGGAAGATCCTAAACATTGGGAGGTGTGTTTGAGCATCAGCGCCCTGCACTTCAAAGCGTTAGTATATGGGTTAGCATTCGGTGAACCTAGGTACATGTCCTGAGCGCCCAGGCTCTCCAATGCCATTGTGGCCAAAACAAGTGCCCATGTAAAGGGACAGGGGGTAATTGCGGAAGAATCAACTGAGTTGCATTCAGATATTTTCAAGGCAAAGCAGCCTGGGATTTTCCAGGCACTATTGGAAAGGTTCCTTCCATCTACAATATACTGAGAGAAGAAAACGGACCAAGAGAACAAATGCATTGTCCATATATTGTAAGGAGGGAGTCACCTAATCTTCCATTATTTTCAGTGGTTAACAACCACCCAACACTCGTGGATTGCGAAACAGGACACTTAAGCCCGGATGATGTGACTGGTCACAAGTTAAGCTCCATGTATCTGAACAAATTTCACACAAATAGAAGTGATGACCGTGAACTTAGGATTCTGGTGACCTGCTGTGCATTTATTTCAGATCTCCAGCATCTGATTTTACATTTTATATCTACCGCAATAAGTGATTATACATACAGTGCTTGTAAAACATTGGTAATTCTAAAACACAAACCTTTTTAAAATTTTTGTGTCACTATAATGTAGATCAGAAGTTGTATTACAGTAAGACGGAAACTTGCCTCAATGTACTCTGATTTTAAACTGCAGTACAATGATAATAAAGCACTCTGCTTCCTTACCGAGAGGTAGAGTACTCCCTAATGCCTCTCCTTTTCATTTCCTTTTTCAGCAAGAGGACCTGGGTTCTATTCCCCAGCGGGGCAGAACGTCGGGCAAGTTTCATTAGTCCACACGCCTACGTTTACCTGACAGTAATTAGGAACCCGGTTGTTAGTCAATTGGCGGATTGCTTTTGTAGGGGTAATAATCCCTTAAATATATAATTGGTTACTCAATCCATGACTGCTGTGCGCAATTGGCTGCTGCAATTCACCCACAAAATATACAGTCAATTTACTTTACAGCATATTCTATGAAGTGCTTTGAGACATCTCAAAGACATGATTAAGCTCTATATCAAATGCAAGGATTATTATTAATTGCTGACTTCAAAGCATTCTGCGGAATGCCTAAGAGGTCAGAAGTTAGAATTTTTTTTAACTTTATGTATCTCTGGGTTGTTTTGCTTTGAGCAATTGGGCCCAAACTCAATACATTGTATGTGCCAATTTTCAAGCAGACACCTTGGCTACAAGACTGGGAAGTGCTAGATTTGCTGCTCCTGAGAGCAGTTGAGATTTCTTTTTAACAAACAATACAGATTACATTTAAACAGTTGGAAGATGGAAGGAATGTGTTTTGTTGGTATCAGGACTGTGTCGGTGAAATGTTCAACACCATCAAAGGGAATTGTTCTTTCCAATTGAATGGAAATAGGTTGGATGTGATTACTGTATCGTTATCTCAGTCACCAAAAGCACGCTTTGGTCATCTCTTGCTGCAGGAGGTAAGAAGGGTCATTGATTTCCCTCTCCACCTCTCAGTTCCGTTCTTCATGCTCAAATTATCGTTCTCTTCAGACACTTGCTGAGGAGAGCATTCAGTCAATAACTTTCTTCAGCTTTGTGATGTGCGGTAATGATGTGTGGGTTGAACTGCACAACTGTGATGCTCATGTCATCTCTGTACATCCTGGCCAGCTCTTCGGGAAAGCTCAACATTTTGGAAAGACGTGCGTGCTCAACGGCACCAAATTCGTTGCTGCCCAGAGCATGGCGAATCAAATGCGTGGACGAGTTCTGGTCTTCGAAGGCCGAGGAGACGCGAGCTTTTCGCTGCTGGAGGAGACTGTGCAATTGGCCCACGGTGACCTTGTAGCCCGAGATGGAGATTGGCTGTTGGAACCGGATACTGGCGAGGTGCTCGCCTACGACTTGCACCACTTTCTGTCGGTGCATAACGTCCCATAAGCCATCTGTCGCCAATATCAAAAACTTATCTTTGGGCCTTAATTTATGGTATGTCACTTCCGGTTCAGCGGTCAGGTAGGGTGGAGTGTGGTAACTGTCCGGAAACATTTTCAGTAACTCGTTCCCTGTTACCAACTCGGGTCTTAATTCGAGAACTCTTTTCTGAAGCTCGGTGCTCCATTTGAACGTCACGTCTCCAAATGCCCTGAAAGGCATCAGGAGTCCCAGAAGCCGTTCATGCTTGACCACCGTCTTCTCTTCAGATTTCGGATGCTCCGACCGAATCCTTTTCACCTCGTCCGGGTTCTGGGCATTGTGGTCGGTGCTCACGGTGAGGGCAGACCACAACCCATCCTCCTCCTCAACCCCCAGCACTGCCCTGCTGTCCCCGATATTCGCAACATGCAAGTCAATGCCGTCTACGTGGGCAACACAGGCAGTCGCCCCCGACAGGGCTACCTGAAGTGCTGTGTAATTAGCGAATGGATTCCTGGCACCTATTTGAGCCTCCAGTGATATGTCGTTATCGAGCCTTTTGAAGGCATTTATCAGCGCTGACCTGGTGTCCAGCTTCTCACCATTTCCCAAGTCTATGTGTTCCTGCCAATACGTTCTTAAGCTATTAAAGTAGAGCCTTCCAGCCTCTCTACTGACGTAATCATTAGGGTGTTTGTGCCACTGCAAGATTGGTAAAACAGGTCGCTCATTTTCCACTGCATCTTCTATTTCGATCAAGGTTTTCCAGGGCAGCAAGGACACTGCAATGTAATAGAACAACCTCTCACTAACCGCCTGGGCACAGGCACAGCCAGCGTGCCCGTCAAACACTCCTATCAGCATGCCTCTGCTCTGCAGGCAAGAGGCTGCGCTACGCCGATCCTCGATAGGCACGTTAGAGGCTAACTGATTGCTGTCAAGTCCCAGGACTGAGCTGATGTTTTTCCCATCAAATTCGGGCACCTTGAAACCAAACTCATTGGCTTTCAGAATGCTGTTGATCTGAGGGAGTGTGAGCTGGTAGGACTGGGGTTTGGCTCTGTAGCTTCTCGCCAGTCCGCCACTGAAACAGTGGTCCAAAAATGAAAAGGTTTGAGCCTTCCTTCCATTGCGAAGACCTTGCAATGTATGTGACAGAGCACACTGGCTGTACAATCCACGCACATGGCTCCGCCTGGATTTTGCAACGTGAAGAAAGCGAACCATAACATATCCAACCGTCACCATTTCCTTGGAGATATTCAACCTCGATCAAGACTCCATCAGCTTGATTAGAACTGCAGTTGTACTGATTCCTGCATAAAAAAGAAATACCAACATTTGTGAATGGACTCCACATGATGCACTTTGCCCAGCAGCTTTGTTTCTCTGAAGTGTGGCATTTGTTGTTTTTTAACACCTATGATGCTTTTTAGCTCAGAAGGTTATACATTACACATCTAGTCAACCAGCTGTCATGCTGTTATCTAAAAATGGGATAAGGCCATTCACCCCATTGGGCCTGTTACTGCCAGTTTATTTTATCATAGTAGATCTTCTATTCCCGTTTCCCTGTTTTCTCCATTCTACACCTCCAATCCATTACTTTCCTAGTATCTACCTATCCGTGCCATTAAACATCCCGATTGATCCCATCTATACAGTTTTATAGGGCATGCCCTTCATTTTCATTGTCAATGTATAAGAAGTTATACATGAAGGGTATTATATAATGCAAGTTGCTGAGTTATGCATTGACTAGTATTTTAGTTCATTTATCTCTTAGAATCATTCAGGTGTTATAAAAACAGTGTCGGCCTTGTTTTTAATATTATATATAAAAATAATGAATGGGAATATCACACCCGAGCTCAACGCAGAGAGAGAGGTTCAATGTTGGTTTCCTGTATCGCTGATGCTGTTATGTCAGATTTGAATTAAACAAGAGATTTGTGGCATCAGTGACCATGAATACTGTTCTCTCTGCACTTTATACAGTACCTCTTCAGCGCTTTGAGACATCTGGATGATAAGGCGCTAGATCAAATGCAAGGATTATTATTATTGCTAATACTCTTTGCCAGTACCCACCAGTCTTGTCCATCAAGCGTTCAGGTGGTTAACTGTCGCTCGGGTGTCTGCCATACCCAGACTGCAACACATCAATCTGAGCTCCACTGTGTCCAGCCCGAAGGTCAGATTAGGTCAAACTGCTCTCCTATTACGCTCAATGCCGAAATTTCCGCCTTTTCGTGACTCAATGCAGTTTCCCCTTTTGCAAACGTGCTGCTATGTGCATCCGCTGATTTCCGAGCCTGGGGTGGGATTGCAGGGTTAGAGGCTGTCGGTGGGGAAGCTTCGGGAACTCCTCTCCTCGCGGCGGATGCTGCTCGTGGAAGCAAAAGGCCCGAGTCTGGATGATTGACAGACAGGACCCCGGGAGGGGGCGGGGAGGGGTGTGATTGATTGACACACAGACAGACAGACGCGGCAGCCAATCAGACAACGCCATTCGGGTCATTCGGACCGTCGCTTGACGGTCGCTCCGCCAATCCGTTCGCAGGAGGGTGGAACTTCCGTCTATCGTCCCCTAGCAACGGGAGAGCGCCCTCACATATATATATATATATAAATAAAGAGGATGATAAGGAGTTTAACTGTCGGATTCAGATGGAGATTTCACCACAATACCTTCAAATAATACCTCGCGTTTCGTTCCAAACGAGAAACGGGTCAACTCAACCGTTTGACTTCACACCAGCAGCCGGTGTCCGTCAGGACAGGCCCCGCCTCCGGCCCGCGCCGCCCAACACCCGGGGGTTACATCACACACGGTAACGGGGGCTGCTCGGCCGGCCGCCTTTCACCGTTTGTGGGAGGAGAGAAGACGATTATTATTATTATTATTGCTCTCCCATTTTCCCCCCAGAACATTCCAGCACGTCACCCCCGTCCGCCCGCCTTCGCTCGTCACTTCCGTCGTCAGGGTGAAAGGTCACGCGGATGAGCGAGAGGGAGAGAGTGTGAGGGACAGACAGACTCGGGGAGAGAGAAGCTGAGGGGGGGAGAGAGGGAGGGAGACAGAGAGAGAGAGAGGGAGACAGACAGAGGGAGACAGACAGAGGGAGAGAGGGAGACAGACAGAGGGAGAGAGAGGGAGACAGACAGAGAGAGAGGGAGAGAAAGTGAGATTAAGAGATACAGAGTGAGAGAGAGACTGAGAAAGTGACAGAGAGAGAGTGAGACTGAGAGAGAGAGAGTGAGTGAGAAAGAAAGAGAAGTATAGAGAGAGAGAGGATGAGAAAGTGAGACTGGGACACACACACATACGCAGACGCAGACGCAGACATTCAGTCTCTCCTGTGGTTCGGGTGCAGCTCCTGTCGGCCATGTTCCGCCGGAGCATTTTGCGAAACGTTGCCGGGGCCGGAGGGCTGATGCGCAGGAGTCTGGGCACCTCGGCCTCCCTCAGAGCATCTGCTGCTGCCCGGAAAGGTAAGACGCCAAGAACACGGGGAACACCCGGACAGTGCCGCGGTCTCTGCGGGAATCAGGCCGGGAGGGGCTGCCGAGCTTGCCCTGCTGGGCACCAGGAGCTGAGTGGGAAGAGTCCCATCTTCCCAGAGTCTTGTCTGCCCTTCCAATCCACCGATGACTCTCAGGCTGTTCGATTATCAGGGCCCTGGAATCCAGCGGCAGTGTCCGCCTGACTCATTCGGAGCATTCTTGCCTCTGGTTCAGAAAGTTGTGGGTCTGGAGCTCCCGGTCCAGGCAGACACTCCCCGCCTGGTGCTGCACGACACACACCACTTTTGTTTCTAATTGATCTCACTCTGCAAAGCGCTTCAAGAATGTTTTGTGATTCGAGAGTGCTGTTTAGATGCTGTTTACCAGCCCTGGCTTTCGCTTGGACTCGCGCTCAGACAGACAGCAACAACAACTTGCGATTTATGTAGCGCCCTCCACTCCGGACAGAGTCTCAGAGCGCTTCACGGTAACGGATCCCAGGACCGAGCCGGGTGGGGGGTGGGGGGGAAGGTGACCAAAGGCGCGGTCGAAGAGAAAGGTCTTCAGCCGAGACCTGAAAATAGGAAGAGAGGGGCCGAGGCGAAGAGAGTGAGGAAGGGAATTCCAGAGCCTCGGGGCATAGTGGCTGAAGGCACGGCCGCCGAGGGTGGAGCGGAGGATTCGGGGGACAAGAAGGAGGCCAGACCCGGAGGAATGAAGGCAACGGGCACTGTTTTGAGAAGATAGGAGGTCAGAGCGGTAGGGGCTGTGCAGAGGAGTGGAGGGATTTGAATACAAGGGTGAGGATCTTGAAGTCGACCATGTGAAAGTATTGATTATTATTATTAACTCCTTCTCAATACATTTTGTATTCCCAGCTGGTAAGCTAAAGAACGAAGAAACTGATAATGCAACTCAACCTCTGTACCTGGATTTCCAGGCCACAACGCCAATGGTGAGTAAAATTAAACTGCCAATAAATTACCCTGATTTCCTTTCCTGCCACATCAACCTGGCAGTGTCGGCCTGGTTCAGTCGACAGCATTCTTGCCTCTGGTTTTGGATTCAGAGCCCGAATGTTGAGTCTTAGAGCTCGCAGACCAGGCTGGCACTCTAACATAGAGTTGCTGTGGGGGGAATCTCATCTCACTGTTCAGGTGGATATTAAAGATTCTGTGACACTATTTAAAGAAAAAGAGAAAGAGTTTTCTCTTGGTGTCCTGGCCAACAATCTTCCAAAAGCTATTTGCCATCATATATTTATGCACGTGTATTTCAGCCCCTGTTGGCATTTACTTTTAATATTTTAATATTTGTATAACTTCAACGCAGGATCCTAGAGTTTTGGATGCAATGCTTCCTTACCTTCTCAGCTGCTTTGGGAACCCCCATTCCAGAACCCATGCTTATGGGTGGGAGAGTGAAGCAGCGGTGGAGAAAGCAAGAAAGGTAAACGACCTGCTTCACAGCTTAGACCTCCTTAAACCAGATTTAGATCCTGTTGGAGGGAGCGGCACCTTTACTGAGTGACCATCGATTGTCTTTGTCAGAAGGTTGTAATACTATAATAATAATCCTTGCATTTGATATAGCGCTTTTCACATCTTCGAGACGTCTCAAAGCACTTCACAGGATATACTGTAAAGTGAATTGACTGTATATTTGTGGGTGAATAATAATGAACTCCTCTCTACAAAATACGGTGGATGCTTCCTATATGTTTTGGGGATTATAGGGATGTAAAAGGCTGCCTAGGCAGAGTTACAAGGATCTCTATGATGAGATTCATTCAGTGACTTATTGCAGAGTTATGAAACAAGTGCTCTGTGATTATGCAAGTGTGGGACTACAGCTATACAAAGTACAGTAACTTCCCTTTATAGTAAAATCCTATGAAAGGCGCTATATCAAATGCAAGGATTATTAGTATTATTATTGTAAGTGTGGGACTGCGATTGCTTACATGTACATCTATATCTTGTTTAATTACTACTTGTCCTTTGCTGGAGAAATCTTTCTGTGGCCTTATTTTAGTCGGAATATGTAGGTGCTTTGGAATAGGGCCAGTTGATTTATTTGTGCGGAGTCAGTTGTTTTCTATTTGGTTACGAAATACAAATATTTAAGCTCTTTCCTGGGGCATGGTGAAGACCAAGAGGGCTGATCTGAGTTGCCGCTATTTATTACTATAAATCAGAAAAACCCATTCCCCTTTGAGGGTCTCTCACGCCCGTTTTTTCAGCGTCTCCAAATCTTGGCCTATTTTCCTCAGCCTTTGTTAGGGAGGAGTTCCTGGGCTACACTAATGATATGCAGTGATGAGCTGGCAGACTGGGGGTATGGGAGGGGTCCTGCAGAGGTCCCTGTCTTCATGCTTTTTACAGTCCTGTTAGGAGTGTCTGATGTTTGCCTGATGGTGAAGACCGGTCTGGCTATCAGGCTTGTACCCTGGGGCCAGAGCTGCCTAAAGTCTCAGACTGTCCAGTGTGCGCACTTCAAACATTTACTCAGTTCAATCATCGCAAGTTGCATTGAAAACAAAATCCTATGCAATATTCCTCCCTCACCCCAATTCACCAAAATGCAGGTCGATGGCCCTGCTGTTTGTAGGACGCTGGGTGTACAGGTTTGCTCTTTAATAACATAAGGTTCTTTATTGCATGTACTCCAACTGTGAGGAAATGCTGGACTTACTCAAATCTAAAATCGAGGGGATATGTTCAGCCACCTCAGCCCCGTCCACATCATCTCTCCCTCATGACCCACCCCCCACCCATCCCCCCCTATACACCTTCGACCCTATCTCTCCCTCCTCCCTCACCAGGACTGTCCGCAAACTCAAACCCACCACCTGTTTCCTCGATCCCATCCCCACCTCTCTTCGTCTCCCAGCTCCACCTTTTGACCGCTCTCCAGTCCAACGTCATCAACCTCTCCTTGTCCACCGGTTCAGTTCCCACCCCCCTAAAAACAGCCATCATCACTCCCATCTTGAAAAAACCTTCCCCGGATCTATCCCTCCTCTCCAGCTACCGCCCCATCTCTAACCTCCCATTCCTCTCCAAGGTCCTGGAACGAGTCGTTACGTCTCAGCTCCACTCCTTTCTCTCTCGCCATTCCCTCTTTGAACCCCTCCAATCCGACTTCTGCCCTCCCCACAGCCCTGGTCAAAGTCACTAATGATATTCTGAACATCTGTGATCAGGGCTCCCTCTGCCTCCTTATCCTCCTCGACCTCTCTGCCGCCTTCGACACTGTTGACCACTCCATCCTCATACACCGCCTCTCCTCTTTACTCAATCTTCACGGACCTGCCCTTGCCTGGTTCGATTCCTACCTCTCTCACCATCTCCACTTTGTTGCCTCTTAAAGGTTTCTCCTCCAACTCCCGCACTGTCACGTCTGGCATCCCCCAGGGCTCTGTCCTTGGCCCCCTCCTCTTTAATATCTATATGCTCCCCCTCGGGGACATCATTCGCAGACATGGGGTCAACTTCCACATGTATGCGAGTGACACCCAACTCTTATCTTTCTACCTCCACCCTCTTCTACCTGTCGGACATCAAGTCCTGGATGAGGGCAGATTTCCTATAGTTTAATGTGAACAAGACTGAGGCCCTCCTGATTGGCTCTCACCAGCGCCTCAGCACCTCAGACTCTGGCAGCATCAACCTCCATGGTTGCACACTACAACTCACCAAACCAGTGCTCTGGGATGCTCACCTGCATGAGGGGCTCTATATCAATGGAAGTTGTTGTTGTTGCACCTCAGGCTCTGGCAGCATCAGCAAACTTCAACTCACCGCCAGTCAGGAACCTCGGTGTCTTGTTCGACCCTCAACTGTCTTTTCTTCCCCACATCCGAGCCATGACCCGCTCTGCCTTCCCTCACCTCCGTAACATCGCCCAACTCCGCCACTGCCTCACCCCTCAGGCGCTGAAACTCTTATTTATGCCTTCATCACCTCCAGGCTCGACTATGCAAACGCCCTGCGTGTCGGCCTTCCCAACTCCTCCCTCCACAGTCTGCAGATAATCCAGACCTCTGCAGCCCGTGTCCTCTCCCGCACCAAACTCTGTGACCCCATCTCCCCCACTCCCGCCCGACTCCATTGGCTCTTTATCCTTCAGAGGATCCAGTTCAAGATCCTGGTCCTCACATACAAAGCCCTCCATGGCCTCACCCCACCCTACCTCTGCGACCTCCTAACTCCCTACCAACCCGTCTGTTCCCTCCGCTCAGCCGGCTCTGGCCTGCTTCACGTGTCCCGACCCACTCACTCCACCATTGGCGGGAGAGCCTTCAGCCACTCTGCCCCCAACCTCTGGAATTCCATTCCCCAGTCACTCCGCCTCGCCCCCTCCTTAGCCTCCTTCAAGTCCCGCCTCAAGACCCTCCTCTTCGACCATGCCATCGGCCGCCCCCCTTCCCCTCCCCTTCCTTCTCCCCCCCCGACCCTAGCTCGGGTCTGAAATGCTGTGCACTGTCCAGTGCCTTGGGACGTCCTCCCAACGTGAAAGGCGCTATACAAATGTAATCTTGTTGTTGTTGTTGTACTTTAGCTTACAGAAAATCAACGTGTGTCTGCGAGGCTCACGTGTTTTTGTTTTCTCCCCATCATTTGTTAACACAGCAAATAGCAAGTGTCATAGGAGCCGATCATAGAGAAATCATCTTCACCAGCGGCGCTACCGAGTCCAACAATATTGCCATCAAGGTAAATTTGTCATCGGTACTCCCGGTAAATTGGTCCTCACCTCATTTGTGGGACTTCAGTGTGTGCAAAACAGCTGTTGCTTCTGCCTACAAATACACGGTCACTACACTTGAGGGTGATTGCAGTGAAGCACCTTGAGATGTTATAAAAGTTCTCTGTGGCTTTCCCTGATCAGCTGGGGTTCTGCTCTCTGCAGAAATGGCATGCAATTAGTAATACATCGGGGAGCTATCTCGAATCTCACTGTTGTTTTTACATTATAAAGTGACTCTCTTGTGATAAATATAAATTGCTGCAACCTGCTCATACTTGAAGCCTCGCATTTAATTATGTAATTAATGGAGGAGTTTACTCATGTACACTGGTTCCTTATTGGGCATTGCACTCCTGTTATAAAACTCCTAATTCTCAGGTTTTAATGTTTTTCCACTGTTTACTGTTTCTTCTCCCCCCCCCACCACCACCCCGCCCACCCCCACTGTCTCTGGTCTCAGGGTGTTGGAAGGTTTTACAAAGCCAAAAAGAAGCACATCATCACAACCCAAACAGAACACAAGTGTGTGCTGGATTCGTGCCGGGCACTGGAGGCTGAAGGTTTCCAGATCACCTACCTACCAGTGAAAAATAACGGACTTGTGGATTTGAAGGTAAGTTTACTGACATCACATATCCAACCTGCACCAGATCTGAAACTGGTGACTTTCACAGACTAAAACGTCTGGAGAGTTTTTCTTCAGTAAAAGCATCTGTTCACTGCTGTGAGGTGCTGTTAAGAGCAAATCACTTGTTTTCTGACTAAACTCATAGGCTGACACTCCAGTGCGGGGCTTATTGGGAGCGCTGCAAAGTCAGATGTGCCGTCCTTCAGTTGAGATGCTAAACTGAGGTCCATTCTGTCTGTTCAGGTAGACATTAAAGAACCCATGGCGCTATTTGAACAGAGAAGGGAGTTTCCTGGCTGACAATCCCCCAAGTAAAATTGGCCATTCACTGGCTGTTTGTGGGGGTGTTGCTGTGCACATATTGGCTGCTGCATTCACCTACAAGGTACCCAGTCACTGCACGTTTCAATATTTTACGTGAAGAGCTTTGAGACGTCCTCCTGACATGAAAGGCGCTGTATCAAATGTAGGAATTATAGTAAACGCCTCGTAACTCGACTCTGGCTTAACTTGTCACAACCACTTAAGTGATCACACTGTCCCTATCCCAGCCACATTTATTTATGTATTTAGACATATACCTAACTTTCTGAATAACTCGTTACCGAGCCCTTTCCCCTGGAGTGACGAGCTATCAGGAGTTTACTGTGGTGTTGTTAATAATTCACCCAGTGGTTTCTTGTAATTCCTCCCCCATTAGGAGCTGGAGAAAGCGATTCAGCCGGACACCAGTTTGGTGTCAATCATGAGCGTGAACAATGAAATCGGAGTCATTCAGCCCATAAGGGAGATAGGTAAGTGGGTGCAATCTGATTGGGAGAAGTTATTAATATAGGTTCATGAGCATGTGAAAGCTGGATCAGTTTAGAGGATAGTGTCACACCAATCGCGAACCCGGGTTCTTCTAGTAGTTAAATTTTTCTTGATCGGCACGCTTCCTGTTTGCCCTTCTCTCTGCTTTGCTGAGAGCTCAGGCGAGAGCGAGAATGGGTCAGGAATGTCAGTCTCTTTATCTGTATGTTTGTGCGCGTGTGTCTCTTGCAGGTCACATGTGCCAGGCACATAAGGTCTTCTTCCACACGGACTCTGCTCAGGCTGTTGGGAAAATCCCCTTGGATGTGAATGACATGAAGATTGATCTGATGTCTATCAGCGGGCACAAAATCTATGGGCCTAAAGGTAAAACTTCATCCATTAACCCCCCTACCCCCACTTCAAACCCCTCCTGTTTCCTAGGAGTCCTGTAGCATAGTGGTTGGAGTGTGAGGGCCCGGGTTCAATTCCCAGGTGGGGCGAAAACTTAGCCAACTTTCCTTACGCCACACGCCTGTTTACCTAACAGTAAGTAGGAATGTGGTTGTTAAGTCAATTGCTGATGGCTTCTCGGGCGTAATAAAAAAATAAGAAGAATTTGGTCACTCAATCCCCGATTGAGACCCTGTTGTTATAATAATAATAATAATAATCCTTGCATTTGATATAGCTCTTTTCACGTCTTCTAGATGTCTCAAAGCACTTCACAGAATATACTGTAAAGTGAATTGACTGTATATTTGTGGGCAAATGCGGCAGCCAATTGCGCACAGCAATGTCCCACAAACAGTCGTAGATTGAAAATGACCAATTTATTATTGGTTTTGGAGGGATTATTATTAGGCTCTGTGTGGAGTAAGGAAACTTGCCCAAGGTTTCGCCCTCTGCCGGGAATCAAACCAAGGTCTCTCGCTTGCAAAGCGAGTGCTCTAACCACTGAGCTACAGGGCTCCACAACATTGTACTTATTGTACTTATTCCAATTGTACTTATTCAAAATTTACTGTGTTTGTAATTATCTCTCCCTTCTCACAATGTCTGCTCTGCGCGCTGAGTGGGCAGGTGACATTTCTAAATGCAGTGCACTGAGCCTGTGGACTACAAACAGCAGCACGGACTAGTTGGGCTGAATGGTCTGTTTCCATGCTGTACAAGGTGTCTGCAAAGTCCTTTTTTTTGTCTACATTCCACTGACCAACAACTGAAACTATGGAAGAATGATGATGATTGTATTTAGAAGTACTTAATTGTATTCTGTGCAAATGTTTAACTATTTATACATGCAGAAGATCTGTGTGTGTGTGTGTGAGAGTGAGCACCATCATTTTCATGGCGGGGGGGCGGTAAGGAAGACTTTGTGGACACCCTGTACATCCTGTGTAAATCTACATAATAGGTTTAAACAACAAAAACAAATTGCATTTGTATAGCGCCTTTCACGTCAGGAGGACGTCCCAAGACGCTAGACAGTCCGGGATCCGCACCCGAGCTGGTGTTTGGGATCAGGAGGGGTGGAGGGCGGGGAGGATAGGGGTAAGAGGGTGACCGAAGGCATGATTGAAGAGGAGGGTCTTTAGGAGGCAAGTGAGGGGGATGGGGAGGGTTGGGGGTGGGGGGTTGCGAGGTGATGGGACTGTGGGATGGAGTTTTGTCTTAAAACGTTTTCCTTGCTCGCTAGGCGTGGGGGCCCTCTTTGTCCGCCGGCGGCCTCGTGTGCGGGTGGAGGCGGTGCAGAGTGGTGGGGGTCAGGAGCGAGGTCTTCGCTCAGGCACCGTGCCCACCCCACTGGTGGTTGGGATGGGGGCAGCGTGCGAGATAGCGCAGCAGGACATGGAGGTAAGTCAAATATCCAAGCAGGTCTGACCCAGAGCGTGCCCTCCACCCAGTTCCGCTGATCTCAATCTAAATTCTCCCAGAGTTTAGATTGACATCAGCGGAATTGGGGAGAGTTTTGGAGGGATAATAATATATAATAATAATAATCCTTGCATTTGATATAGAACCATATTACGTCTTTGAGACATCTCGAAGGGCTTTGCAGAATATACTGTAATGTGAATTGATTGAATATTTTGTGGACTGTACATATATAATAATATCAATAGTAAATTGGTCACTCAATCCATGACTGTTTGTGGGACACTGCTGTGCACAATTGGCTGTCGCGTTTCGCCCACAAAAATATACAGTTAATACATAGAAACATGGGTAGGCTATTCAGGCCCTCAAGCCTGTTCCGGCTTTTTATAAGATCATGGCTGATCTGTAACTTAAGTCCAATTACCCACCCTTTCCCCATATCCCGTAATATCCTGACCTAACAAAGATCTACCTCCGTGTTGAGGATTCATTTTACAGTATATTCTGTGAGGCGCTTTAAGATGTCTCCAAGTCGTGATAATTGCTGTTTTGGCAATACAAATTTAGCTGTTGTTGCTTTACTCTTGCACTTCTCCATTCATAAGTCTTATTCATGTTGGCTATTTTTGATAGTTTAATCCGTATAGGTTTAGCTATTTTTGATTCTTCAAAGTTAAATAAATTTCTGTACATTACATCAAAGATGTTTTTCATCAGAGGCTTTGGTTCATGTTTGTCTCATGTATGTTAATTATACAGTAGAATTGTTCATGAGGGAACCAGGCACACTTAAATAAAATAAAGTAAAATAAAAATATTAAGGGACGTAGAGTAAGAGCTGGAAAGTGGGATTGATTTTTAAAAAAAACGCTGGAGAAATAGGTACTTGGTGATGTGGATACTAACAGTTCCCATTGACCCGAAACATGCTGCTGTGAAGCTTTGATATTCAGAGTTGTTACGATGTGGAATGCACTGCCTGAAAGCACAGGGGAAGCAGATTCAATGGTGGGTTTCGAAAGGGAATCAGATAGGGATTTGAAAAGGAAAAATTTGCAGTGCTGTGGAGGTAAGAGAAGGGGAGTGGGATATGTTTCTAAGAGCTGGCACAGGCACGATGGGCCAAATGGCCTTCTTTTGTGCTGTAATATTCTATGAGAGCAGACGGTCGGGGCTTGGGATCTGAATGGACAGCGGCCACATTGCAGTAACAGACTGTAGCTCACTGCCCTTTACAGTGCGTTTGTCTCCCTGCTGCCGCAGTCCTGCCATTTCGTAGGTGCGGTAGATAAAACCCCGCATTTGTGGTGTGTAAAGTTCAGTGTGTGTTTCCCCAGTACGACCACAAGCACGTGTCCGTCTTAGCCAAGCGCTTGGTGTCTCAGATCATGGATGCGGTTCCTAACGTGTTCCTGAACGGGGATTCCGAAAAGAAGTATCCAGGTAAAGTGAGTGGCCACCCAGCCTCGCTGGCCCCAGATTCCAAAACCCCCAGTGGGGTGGGGGGCAACATGCAGTCTGTGAATTGATGGTTATCACATAGAATAATAATAATAATCCTTGCATTTGATACAGAGCTTATCACATCTTGCAGACATCTCAAAGCGCTTCACAGACTATACTGTAAAGTATAGTGACTGTACATTTTGTGGCCGAAACGTGGCAGCCAATTGCACACAACAGCGTCCCACAGCAGTTCGAATAACATAATATATGTGTATGTATAAATATATAAATATATATAACACATGGTTAAAAAATGCAATGGAAACCTTAATTTACAACACGATTAGCAGTGACACCCCCTTTCAGCTCCCTTCACCCCCCCCCCCCCGCCCATACACACACACACACACACACACGCGCTCACTAGATTTTGGGTCATTGGGTTGACCTCTCAATCGCAGTTGGTCACCTTCGCTCACTCTAGAAGCCGTCATCTCTTGTTCTGGCCACCCGCAATCTGTTCCCATTTCAGCCACACTGCACGGAACTCGATCAGTCTCTGGTCTGGCAGGGATTATTCTTTGCCCCTTTCAGTACCAGCCATAGTTCAGGACTGTATGTCGTTCTTGATCTGTAACTGTGATTTCTGCACCTGATCACTGCACCATGCTGTGTCTGTGTGTCAGGGAGTCTTTAGACACGTGTAAATACCTCAGCGGGAAACAGGATTCCTACTTTCTCACTAGAGATGTTCCGAATTGCATCTGTGTTGAATTTTTTTTTGTTACCTCAATCGTTTTCTGACACCAGTTCTCTCTCTCTCTCTCTCCTCTCTCTCTGTACCTGATTTCCGCAGGCTGTATTAACCTGTCATTTGCATACGTGGAGGGAGAGAGCCTGCTCATGGCTTTGAAAGATGTGGCGCTCTCTTCAGGGAGGTGAGAAGGCAATGTTTTCAAAGTCCGCGTTGTTACTACTAAACAGTAATGAATAACAAATTTAATTTGAGTGAGTGTCCACAGTTATCTGATGTGTGTACGTGTCCTGTCGTGTTGTGTTTCAGTGCCTGTACGTCTGCCTCCCTGGAGCCGTCGTATGTTCTGCGCGCTATCGGTGCCGACGAGGACCTGGCTCACTCCTCCATCAGGTATTGTACAATGCAGAGCAGTCCTGTAGCTCAGTGGTTAGAGCACTCGCCTTGCAAGCAAGAGGGCCTGGGTTTGATTCCCGGCAGAGCGAAACCTTAGGCAAGTTTCCTTACTCCACACGCCTCTGTTTACGCAGCAGTTAGCAGGAACCGGGGTGTTAGTCAATTAGCGAATCGTTTTTTTGGAGGTAATAATCCCTTCAAAGAAAAAAATAATACATTGCACCTCCCTCAGAGAATCTGATGATCTTAAAGCACAGACAGAGGCCATTTGACCCATCGTATCTCTCCAAGGTCTCTTTTAAGAGCTACCCATTCAGTCCTATCTATTGAGTGATCTCATGCCTAGAGGAGCACGAGAATTGGTGATGAATTATTGTCTATTCTTGACACTGGGGATTCAGTTACACTGATTTCCTCCAGTTTACAGACATCACTTAGTTTTGAATAGCTGTGGTACGACTCCCCACTCCCAGGCGCTCTCTCTCTCTCTCTCTCTCTCTCCCCTTCACCATGGTCCAACCTTTTTAATGTGATTTTTTTTGTCTCTTCCCTGGGGTTCAGTCTTTATTAGATTCTCCAGATTCTTTTCCTCACTCTCTCCCTTTATTAAATCACCTTATTAAGGTGTTTCTGGCCTGTTAACTCTGGCTGCTCTCCGCTGTGCTCGCAGGTTTGGAATCGGCCGTTTTACGACAGAGGAGGAGGTGGACTACACTGTGGCGAGGTGCATCGAGCACGTGAAGAGGCTCCGGGAGATGAGGTACGCTGTTTATACTGACAGTGATGGGGCATGGGTTTCACTGTAAATGGCATCCATGGTTTTAACATCATATCAACCTGTCCACGCCCCCCCCCCCGCTCAGCAGGTCCAAATCCCTGACTGTCCAGCGTCTTGGGATGTCCTCCCGACGTGAAAGGCGCCGTCTATATGCAATTTGCTGTTGTTGTATACTTAGCAAATGGGTGCCACAGAAATAGTGGTTGAAACGTGAAGAACAGGTGGTTGTGGATGGGGCGAGATCAGACAGGTTGAAGGGCCTTCTTAATCCCAACTGCTCTTGTGGCCTCTGTAACATCACATTTGAGTCCGTTCATTTCCTCATCTATAACAACAGCAGCAGCAAATGACATTTATATAGCGCTTCTCACGTCCCAAGGCGCTAGTCAGTTAGGGACTTGGAACCCGAGCTGGGGGTTGCGATCAGGAGAGGTGGAGGGCAGGGGTTGGAGGGTGATTGAAAGCCCAGTCAAAGAGGAGGGTCGAGACTAAGGAATATAACCCACCTCTCCTCATGGCTAAAGTGTAACTTTTGTCCTTTTTTTCCTTGTCATAGTCCACTCTGGGAGATGGTGCAAGAGGGGATCGACCTGAAGACCATTAAGTGGAGTCAGCATTAGGGCACGTATTGCTATCCGTGTCTGGGGAACAGCCAGTGAAAACCCACTTCCACGCTGCAATATTTATTTAGTTACAATGCACAATGGATTTGGGGTGAGTTTCAGAGAGACGTGACTTCCCTCATCTCTGTGTTTACAGAGTACGGGAGGGTGTTGTCCCTTAAAATAAAAAAAAGATGGGGACGTTACAGACTATGCTGCTGGAGCTTGCTCAGTTGTATGCCTTAAGTTGGTGGGGTGCCCTGAAGCAATTAGGTGAGACCTTTTACAGTGATGTTACAGCACCAGGTTTGTAGATTAGTCGAGGTACAGTCTTATAAGAGCCACACTTGTTCACTGGATCATACAGTAACTCGATGCTAAGGGTTCAATGTGCCTTAGTTCCTTTGCTATTTCCCTCAGTTTTTTTTTGCTTTCCTAGTTTGAAGACAGTGGCTTGCGTGAAACGAGCTGTGTTTAACAGGAATGCTTGCAATAGTTTCCTTTCCGTGTCAATTGTTGCCTTCGCCACCATTCCCATTCAACAGGAGTCCTTGTGCAACAAGTCTGTGGAAGTGTTAACATTGTTCATTCTCTTTCTTTTCCTCTCTTGATCTCTCTTTCACTTTTTTCTCTCAATGCTTTGACTTAGGTGGTGAGATGGTTGCAATCACTTGAGGTTTTTCCTCTCGTGTATTGAAAACAAAAAAGCTGATAAAATACTATCAGCTGGAGTCTCAACTACTTCTTAACAAGAACCTCAGCAAAGTCCTGTGCATGCCAATAAACTGGATTGTGTAAATCCCTCTCTTTTTCCTCTTGCCTTCCAAAGATGTAAAGCTGCTTGTTCCACTTGAATTGGCTCCGCTGTAGGTTTCTGTCACTACTGGGATTGCATTGGAATTTTTTTTCTGTTTGATACAAATAGAGAAACATATCAATACGCACAATAGGATCCTGTATTTTATGTGTCTGGGTTTTATATGAACCCAGTGAAATATGTTGATGTACTACTTTGGTGATATTTCATACTTTGTATTTGATGTTTATTTCAAACTTGTATTGAGGCTTTATTGTAAGATCTATACCATTAAAATATTCTCTCAAAATATTAAGTTTCATGTTTCCTTGTTCCAAATTGACGTCTTTAAGTGAAGTAGAGGGAATAAAATTGTGAAGTCATGTAACTCAGTGATTAGAGCACTCACCTTGCAAACGAGGGACCTGAGTTTGATTCCTGGGTTGGGCGAAATGTTGGGCAAGTTTCCTTGCACCACACGCCTCTGTTTACATAACATTAAATAGGAACCGGGTTGTTCGTTGTTTGGCGGATCGCTTTTCCGGGGGTAACAATTCCTTGAAAACTAATTGGTCACTTCTATCCACGATGTTTGTGGGACGCGGGTAGTGGGTTGGGGTGTAAGTGGGTCGGAGAGGTAGGGAGGTGCCAGGGATTGAAGGAATTTGAAAACTAGTGATAGAATCTTGAAATCTTGAAATCGATCCCAAACAAACTGAGCCATGAGATTGGTTTGGTGTCTCCAGGTGGAGATTTTTTTAAAAATGGTTTCAATTTTATCATTTTTTAAAAACAATTCTGCTTCCCCGCACACACGTACATACATCATACAGATATGTACATACACACACACACACACGTACATACATCATACACACATACATACACACACGTACATACATCATACAGACACGTATATACATCATACACACACGTACATACGCACATACATCATACACACGTACATACATCATACACACGTACATACATCATACACACGTACATACACACGTACACACATCATACACACACACGTACATCATACACACACACATCATACACACATACATACATCATATACATAATAATAATCCTTGCATTTGATATAGCGCTTTTCACGTAGGGAGGACGTCCCAAAGCGCTTCACAGAACACACTGTAAAGTGAAATGACTGTAGATTTGTGAGCGAACGCGGCAGCCAATTGCGCACAACAATGTCCCACAAACAGTCGAAGATTGAAAATGACCAATTTATTATTGTTTTTGGTTTCGGAGGGATTATTATTAGGCTCTGTGTGGAGTAAGGAAACTTGCCCAAGGTTTCGCCCTCTGCCTGGAATTGAACTCAGGTCTCTCACTTGCAAAGCGAGTGCTCTAACCACTGAGCTGCAGGACTCCAAAATACACACATCATACACACACACACAGACATATATCATACACACACAAACACACACAAGTTGTTGCACACATCTCCAAGTGGCAGTGAGTGGCTGCAGTGGCCCTGTTCTGGCTGTAGGCGGCGCTGCGGACTGTAGATCAATGCATTTCCAGTCCAATGCCCTGTGTGTGAGACTCTGTCCCTGTGGCTGCATTTCTGTCCCGGGTCCGGGGTCACTGACCTCTGACCTCTGTGTGTGTGTGACTCACAGAAACCTTCGCTGCAGAGAACCACAGCCCCGTCAGGGCCCCGAGCAACTTCCGCCCCGTCGGGGCCGTCGGCAATAGCTTCCCTCCCGTCACTTCCGCCCCGTCGGGGCCGTCGGCAATAGCTTCCCTCTCGTCACTTCCGCCCCGTCGGGGCCGTCGGCAATAGCTTCCCTTCCGTCACTTCCGCCCCGTCGGGGCCGTCGGCAATAGCTTCCCTCCCGTCACTTCCGCCCCGCTGGGCTGCGCGCGACAGTGGCGGGTGAGGCGGTTGGTGCGGGGAGTTTCCGGTGAGGAGACAGCGACATGGAGGAGGTGCAGCGGCGGCACCCGCGCCGGTAAGAGACCCGGGGAGAGGGAGAGGGTCCCGGGGAGGGGGAGATGGACCGGGGGGGGCGGGGTCCCTGACCCTGAGGCCGGGGGGCGGGGAGGCCGTGCGGGGGAGACACGGCCTGAGCCCCGGAAAGAGAGAGAGAGAGAGAGGCCGCTGCCCGGGGCCCCGCGGGGACAGGAGCCCCGGGGGGTGGGGACAGGAGCCCCGGGGGGTGGGGACAGGAGCCCCGGGGGGTGGGGACAGGAGCCCCGGGGGGTGGGGACAGGAGCCCCGGGGGGTGGGGACAGGAGCCCCGGGGGGTGGGGACAGGAGCCCCGGGGGGTGGGGGCTGTCACTCACTGTCACTCACTGTCACTCGCTGTCACGTGTGGGGTCTGTGTGTGTGTCATGTATGTATATTGCGTGATATGTATGTTGCTGTGTGTGTGTGATATGTATGTTGCTGTTTGTGTGTGATATGTATGTTGCTGTTTGTGTGTGATATGTATGTTGAAGTGTCCATCGATGGCCTTCAGCCTCTCAGCCCCTAGGCTCTGGAACTCCATCCCCAGTGCCTTCGCCGCTTCCTCCCTCTCCTCCTTCAAGGTCGGTCTCAAAACCTTTAACTTTGACCGAACCTTCAGCTCCGCTCTCGACTCTCTTCCCCCTCCTCGCTCCCTCCCTCCCCTCCCCCTGACCATTTCTCCCTTCTTCGGGTCCCGACCCAACTGTACAGCGCCTCGGGACGTCCTCCCGACATGAAAGGCGCTCTACAAATGCAATTTGTTGTTGTTGTTGTGTGCAAGGGCTTCAGTGTATTTCGGAACAAAGACAGCGCTTTATCGCGTCGCAACTTCACAATGTGTGTAGTGACTGGTTCTGTAGGTAAATCATCCGCTGACACTCGTTCTGTGTTGTGTGGAAAGAGTCCCAGAATTTCCCATTCTTCAGAAAGAGGAAGTGCAATATCTGGTGTAAGCCTTGTGTCAGAGCACTCACTCACTCACTCACTCACTCACTCACTCACTCACTCACTCACTCACTCACTCACTCACTCACTCACTCACTCACTCACTCACTCACTCACTCACTCACTCACTCACTCACTCACTCACTCACTCACTCACTCACTCACTCACTCACTCACTCACTCACTCACTCACTCACTCACTCACTCACTCACTCATCACTCACTCACTCACTCACTCACTCTCACTCACTCACTCACTCACTCACTCACTCACTCACTCACTCACTCACTCACTCACTCACTCACTCCATCACTCACTCACTCACTCACTCCTCACTCACTCACTCACTCACTCACTCACTCACTCACTCACTCACTCACTCACTCACTCACTCACTCACTCACTCACTCACTCACTCACTCACTCACTCACTCACTCACTCACTCTATCACTCACTCACTCACTCACTACCTCACTCACTCACTCACTCACTCACTCACTCACTCACTCACTCACTCACTCACTCACTCACTCACTCACTCACTCACTCACTCATCACTCACTCACTCACTCACTCACTCACTCACTCACTCACTCACTCACTCACTCACTCACTCACTCACTCACTCACTCACTCACTCACTCACTCACTCACTCACTCACTCACTCACTCACTCACTCACTCACTCACTCACTCACTCACTCACTCACTCACTCACTCACTCACTCACTCACTCACTACCTCACTCACTCACTCACTCACTCACTCACTCACTCACTCACTCACTCACTCACTCACTCCACTCACTCACTCACTCCTCACTCACTCACTCACTCACTCACTCCACTCACTCACTCACTCACTCACTCACTCACTCACTCACTCACTCACTCACTCACTCACTCACTCACTCACTCACTCACTCACTCACTCACTCACTCACAGCCCAGTCTGACCCTCCAGCACATTGCTGAGCCATTGTTGGAGATGCCGTCCTACAGTTGAGACGTTAAAACCAAAGTCCTTTCTGCTTATTCTGGTGGACATTGAAGATCCCGCAATGCTATTGGGAATAAGGGAGAAGAGTTTCTCTCAGTGTTCTGGCCTCCAGATGCATCACTTCATGGATGTTTATGGAATCCTTGCTACGTCGAAATTACCTGGCTTGCAAATCCAGTCACTACACGTGACAATATTTGGTTGTGAGGTGATTTGCAGTGTTAAACTCTCCGAGAAACTACCCATGTGAAGGGGGTTATATAAATGTAAGTTGTTGTTGTGTTGCTATAAAAATAATAACAGATTAGATTTGTATAGAGCTGTTCACATCGGGAGGACGTCCCAAGGCGCTGGACAGTCAGGGAATTGGACCCGAGCTGGGGGTAGAGGGCAGGGAGGGTAGGGGTAGGGAGGGGTGACCAAAGGCGCGGTCGAAGAGGAGGGTCTTGAGACGTGCCTTGAAGGATATGAGACATAAGACTTCCCCCTGTGGGTTTACGTTCACCACAGCTACGCGGTTTAATTGGCATTAAGTTGGTATTCTTGCTGGGGAGCCCACAAAGAAAGACTTGCATTTTACTAACAGAAGATGCAACTGTACCATTCCTCATTGCACAGGGCAGCAGTCTCGCAGTCTAGGCTGACGATCCAGTGCAGGGGGAGGGCTGCATTGCTGGAGACGTCGTCCTTTGGGCGAGACGTTAAACTGAGGTCCCTTTTGCCTATTCAGGAGGACTTTCAAGATCCTGTGGCACGACTTGAACAGAGTAGGGAGTTTCTCTCTCTCTTTCAGTGTCCTGGCCGACAATTCCCCCAGATAGAATTGGTCACTGGTGGCTGTCTGTGGGACACTGCTGGGTGCAAATTGGATGCTGCGTTCACCAGAAATACACAGTCACAACACTTTTCAATCCTGTGAAGCACTTTGAGACGTCTCGATGACCTGTTAATGCGCGTTGTATCAAATGCAGGGATTATTATTATTATGTATAATGTGACACAGCCTGAGCACATCTGCTCGGGTGTGGAATCTAACCAGTTCCAGCTGCGAGATTGATCTCGGGATTGAGGAGTCTGCACTGGATGCTAATGTGACTGGTCCCAGCTTTGTTGCACGGCTCGCATCCAAGAACAAGTGTATGTGGGGAGCTGTCCTCTCCCATTCCTGAACAGGATACAGGAAAAGGCTTGTTGTGATTCTACCCTCTCGCCTCTCAGCCCTTCCTGTAACTGCAGATTTTCCCTCCACACTCTGAACATTGCTGCTCTGAACTCTCCTGCCTTGTCCCATCTTTCAACCATCTCCAGGGCCTGGGAAAGGATGAGTTAGAGTAAGGGATCGTGTGATGTTTTTCCTGTTAAAGCTGCACAGTTGAAAGGTCCAGGGAGGTGACGCTTCCTTTAACCTGCGCTCAGCTTGTCTTGTCTGTTTCTCTACAGCGATGTAATTTCACTTGTAATGACACCTGTCATGTAGGGAGAATATCACAAAGATCTTTTACGGAGGCTGAGTGGGAGTACGAGTGAGAAGTAGATGATATAGCGGGAAGAGGTGGGAAAAGGCGTAAACAAAAGGAACAACAACAACAAGATTACATTTATATAGCGCTTTTCACATCGGGAGGACGTCCCAAGGCGCTGGACAGTGACAGCATTTCAGACCCGAGCTGGGGTTAGGGGGGGAGAAGGAAGGGGCGGGGTAGGGGGGTGACCGATGCCATGGTCGAAGAGGAGGGTCTTGAGATGGGACTTGAAGGAGGCGAAGGAGGGGTTGAGGCGGAGTGACTGGGGGATGGAATTCCAGAGGTTGGGGGCAGAGTGGCTGAAGGCTCTCCCGCCAATGGTGGGGCGGGTGGGTCGGGGGAACGTGGAGCAGCCAGAGCGGCTGAGCAGAGGGAACGGGCGGGTTGGTACGGGGTTGGAGGTCGCAGAGGTAGGGTGGGGTGAGGCCGTGAAGGGCTTTGTAGGTGAGGACCAGGATCTTGAACTGGATCCTCTGAAGGATAGGGAGCCAATGGAGTCGGGCGGGAGTGGGGGAGATGGGGTCACGGAGTTTGGTGCGGGAGAGGACACGGGCTGCAGAGTTCTGGATTATCTGCAGACTGTGGAGGGAGGAGTTGGGAAGGCCGACACGCAGGGAGTTTGCATAGTCGAGCCTGGAAATGATGAAGGCATAAATAAGAGTTTCAGCGCCTGAGGGGTGAGGTAGTGGCGGAGTCGGGCGATGTTACGGAGGTGAGGGAAGGCAGAGCGGGTCACGGCTTGGATGTGGGGAAGAAAGGACAGTTGAGGGTCGAACAAGACACCGAGGTTCCTGACTGGCGGTGAGTTGAAGTTTGCTGATGCTGCCAGAGCCTGAGGGGCAACAACAACAACTTCCATTGATATAGAGCCCCTCATGCAGGTGAGCATCCCAGAGCACTTCATGAGAGATATTTAGATGGTGTCAGTGTAAACAAACCTGTGGTCACTGACAGGAGGCACAAAAGCTCGCAAAATGGCAGTGTAAAACCTTCCCCAAACAAGCTGATCGTGTTAAGCAACATGAGAACATTCTGGGAATGTGGTTAATCCTGTTCCGCACTCATTGCCTTCGTGCTTCACTCTGGATTTCTTCTATTCCTCAATAACCCATAGAGTCCTGGATTCACAGCACCAACGGAGGTCATTTGACATCTTGCTGGAGCTTTCTACTTTCATCCCATTCCCTACCTTTTATCCTTGTGACCGTTCTCAGCTTACACCCAGGCATCTCCAGAAATCAGTGGGTTAGAATTCCTTCCCCCCGCCCCCCCCACCCCCGGTGAATCTAAGTAATATCACCCTTGTGTGTGCAGGAGTGTGTCACCTTCTGCGAGTGTCTGCTGTGTTTCCTCTCGCATTTTTCCTTGGCTTCTCATATAATCTGTATAAGTCTTTCTGGTGGGTTTTTCCATTGTGGTTTTGCTGCTCACAATATCTTCCACTTGGCACGTTTTTCTCAAAAAAAGAGAGCCTTGGCTCATGGCTCCGCTCCCCACAATGGAGAGGACAGAGACTATATAAGGACAGAGAGTAAAATGGGCTCCAGTCCGTCTCTGTGAAAGTCTCACATCCCCCTGGGCTGCCGAGCGAGTCACCAATGTGCTGACTGATGGGGAACAGGATGGCTCAGAAAAGAGGAAGAGAAATGTGAGGAGCCTGTTGTCCCTTGTGCTCAGTGAGATAGAGTGTCAAGGCTGGAATTTAAAGCTGTGTTTCACTGGAAATTCAGCTCCCCCCCCCCCCCCCCCCCCCCCCACCCCCCCGCCATTTACACAACATGTAGTCCTGTAGCTTAGTTGTTAAAACACTTGCCTCTCAAGAGAGATGACCCGGGTTCAATTCCCAGGCAGGATGAGACGTTTGGCAAGTTTTCTTACTCCGCACGCGTCTGTATACCTAGCAGTAGGTAGGAACTCAGTTATTAGCTGATTGGCGGATCACTTTTCCACTTTTCGGCCACAAAATACACAGTCACTACACTTTACAGGATCTTCTGTGAAGTGCTTTGAGATGTCTCGAAGACGTGATATGGTGCCATATCATAGGATTATTAAGGATCATTATTAATTGTTCAAGAGATGGATTAAACCTTGCAATTTATTTCAACCAGGGCCCAAGTGTGGAATTCTAGAAAGCTCCAGTGCTGATAGAGGCCATTCGGCCCATCATGACTGTGCCGGCTCTCTGGGAGAGGTCTCCGTTTAGGCCCCACTCCTCCTGCCCTTTTCTCACGTCCTCTTACAGTTACAGTAATCTTTGCTTAGTTTCTTTTCATAAGTATTCTTTCGTTAAAACAGCGCTTAAAAGTGGTGCGATAAATTCTATCTCATGTCAGTGAGTCGTCAGAAAGAGCAGCACAGACAGCAACTCGCTGTGGGAGTCACCCAGAGGGCACATTCACATCCACATTGCAAGGCGTTGCAGCAATCTCACTATTGCAACTGTCTGTTCATAGCTCCACACGCCTTAGTTTCTCCCTTCCTGACTGTGCTGCCTCCGCTTGGGGTTTAAACATTTAAAGCTATCGTAGAATGTTAGGTTGCGCTTCACTGAGAGTTGTTGCGGTCTGGAATACACTGCCTGAAAGGGTGGTGGAAACAGATTCGATAATAACTTTCAAAAGGGAATTGGATAGATACCTGAAAAGAAAAAAAATTTGCAGAGCTGTGGGGAAAGAGCGGGGGAGTAGGACTTGTTGGATGGCTCTTTCAAAGAGCCGACACAGGCCCGTGGAGAGAGCAGGGAATGGAGTTGGAGTAGAGAGCTCCAGTGGAGGAGTGAGCACCAACACAGATACGATGGGGAGAGAGAGAGAGCAGGGAATGGGATTGGAGTAGAGAGTAGTGGGACTTCAGGGGAGAAGAAACACGAACAAGCTAAAAAATAAAGATCATCACAGGTGACATCACCTGAACAAAGTCATTTCAGAACAGCCCCTAAAAGCAGTGTGAAGAGTTGTTCGACTTCAAGATCCTCATCCTCACCTACACGGCCATTCACGGCCTCGCTCCCTCCTACCTCTCTGACCTACTATCCCCCTACATACCCGCCCGTACCCTCCGTTCCTCTGGCTCCGGTCTGCTCCACATCCCCCGCCCCAACCGCCCTAACATCGGTGGTCGGGCCTTCAGCCTCTCAGCCCCGAGGCTCTGGAACTCCATCCCCAGTGCCTTCGCCGCTTCCTCCCTTTCCTCCTTCAAGGTCGGTCTCAAACCTTTTTCTTTGACCGAGCCTTCAGCTCCCCTCTCGACTCTCTACCCCCTCCTCGCTCCCTCCCTTCCCTCCCCTCACCCTGACCATTTCCCCCCTACTCGGGTCCTGACCCAACTGTACAGCGCTTTGGGACGTCCTCCCGACGTGAAAGGCGCTCTATAAATGGAATCTTGTTGTTGTCACTGTTGTTCGCAACACACATCGCCTGTGATTATCAAACGGGAACAATGGAGAATTTCCAGCCCGTGTTAGTGCTGCATTGTGGTTTATGGCGGTTGAGATAACAGTCCATTGGGTTAGCAAAAGGTAATGTTCTCCACCGCCGCTGGTTATCTATCTTATCAGAGCCAGTGGAGCGCAGAGTGTGTGCGCTCGAAGCCTGGGACTGTCTCTGAGCATGTTATTAAGGACCCCAAAACCCCAATAAATAAGGCCATCCCTGAGCTCGCAATCCCAATCCACAGACGTTTATCAGCCTTGTCTCAGGCCTGGACCAACCTATGCTGTCCCTCTCTTGTCTCTCTGCCGCAGGAGATAACACAGAGGCCTGACACAGTGACACTCACTCTGCAAAGCTCCCAGCGGAGCGATGAACCACTTAATTACACACAGCATTAAGCAGGGAGTGGGATAAAAGCCGTGGTGCACAGTTGTAGAATGGCAAAACTCTAGCCATCAATTGGAAAGAGAGTTAATTATCACCTTGATTTGCTACTTAAACCCTTGTCAGTAAAGCTGAGAACAGAAGTGGGCATGTGCCCCAGGGAGCTGCCGTCACCGCGAGCTTTACTTTTAGCTTAGTGGCTTGTTAGTCTAGCTTTATACTGTTGTATAATACTTCGGATGAGACGTTAAACTATGGTCCCGTCTGCCTGACCAGGTGGATGTTAAAGATCCCGCGGCGCTATTTGAATAGAGAAGGGAATTTCTCTCTTCCGATGTCCTGGCCAACAATCCCCCAAACATAATTGGTCACTCACTTCAAGACTGTTTGTGAGACACCGCTGTATGCAGCTGGCAGCCGCCTTTCGCCCACAAAGTACACAAAGCATTTGTGATAAGCGGTATATCAAACGCAAAAATTATTGTATTATAATAATAATTCTATCGTTTGACATAACCCATATAACATCAACATGTCCACAACGTGCTTCACAAATAATTACTGCCCGGTGCATACTTGTGGACAAACGGACACAAAAAGAGCAGAGCAGGTATTGAGAATCCATTTACTAATGCAAAGATGGACCTGACTGTAAACGCACAGACACTGACAAATGCCTGAGAGGTACCAGTCTGAGTGTTACAGTCCACAGTCATCTGGTGTACTGTACCGTGCCTTCGGTACCCCTTTGCTTAAAGACAGCAGACTCTAGATGGTGTCTTTATTCATAGACATAAGAGATGGCAGTTGGTGAGGTGGAATCCCCACTCGCCCCTGAAAATAACCGTCAAGAAAAGCCAACATCTGTCTCTGTCACACTGACACCTTGTGCACTACGCTTTCAGCGCCAGGCTGGGCCGAATGGCCTGTTTCCGTCCTGTGGCACTCGATGTAAATCTGAGTAACTTTTAGGTGTGTTAAGTGTCGCCCGGCTCGGCTGAGGAGGAGCTGTGGGTTCAAACCACAGGGCTAGGCTGACTCTCCCGTGCAGTGTTGTTTGTGAGTGTGTGTTCGGGGGGCGAGGAGAGGGGGGGTCGCTGTATCGTTGGATGATAAATCAAATCGAGGCTGATCTGTCTGTTCAGGGGCTGTTAAAAACCCACCAAATTGTTGAAAAAGAGAAGGGAGTTTCGCCTCTCTCGCCATTCACTCCGTGACAGTTTGTGGGACTTTGCTGCCCGCAAATTGACTGCTGCGTTTGCCAACAAATGCAGCTGCTACAGCCTGACAGGAGTTACCTGTGAAGCCTTTGAGATATTTTGGTTTTAATAGAATGCTTCAAACACTCCAAACTGCTCCTCTGTCACATTGTGTGACGTGCTGTCGGCAGGAAGCTGGGTGGAGTGTTAGCAAAGGTTTGAGGAGCTGAATGACTGGTTCTCGCTTCCATGTTGTACGTTAGTAAACAGTAAACAGTAGACTGCAAACTCGGGGGCGAGTATAATAGTGGGCTCTTTGGAATTCATATCAGTGGCGGTGGTTGGAGGGGGAAATAATAATAATTCTTGCCTTTGATACAGCGCCGTATCACATCGTTGAGATGCCCCAAAGCGCTTCACAGGATATATTGTAAAGAGGGTTAACTGTGTATTTTGTGCGCGAAACATTAGGATTGGAAGTTAGATTGACAGAACCCACGATCGCTGTACCACAGTTAAGGCCTCCGTGATATACAGCTTTTTGTTCCCCTTCCAACAGGTCTCTGAAGAAGCTAAGTGAGGACAGCTTGACCAAACAGCCAGAAGAAGTCTTCGATGTATTAGAAAAACTCGGTGAAGGGTGAGTGTGAGCAGTTCAGTGAGAGGTGACAGTCCTGCCCCCGGGGGCTCGGCGAGTGCGGCCCCTCAATGATTGACTGAGACCACAAACACGACAAACAAAAAAAAGAAAAGAAAACAAAAAAAACAAACCCAGTTCCTGGTTCCTTCCGTCCCCAAGTCTCCAGGTAAATTCCTGATAAATTGGTCCTTAAGCTCATGGCTATTTGTGGAACCTTCCTGGTGCTGTGTTGTCAAGAGGGTGTCCACAAAGTCCTGTTATCCCCTGTTACAAAACAACAATATGAAACTACGAAGGAACTGAAACAAGCCGCCAGAGATGCATTTCTCCTCCTCACTGACTCCATCTACATCCATGCTATGGAGGATGTTCACCGAACATGGCGATGGATCATTATCTGCCATGAAAATTATGGCGCTCACTCACTCACACACACCACACACAAACATCGATCCCCTGGATGTTTAAATATAGTTAATAATAGTAACAATAATCCTTGCATTTGTTATAGCGCCTTATCATGTCTTCGAGACGTCTCAAAGCGCTTCACAGGATACACTGTAAAGTGAATTGACTGTGCATTTTGTGGGCAAAACTTGTGCTGAATACAGTGAAGCACTTCTAAATACAATTATCATCATTCTTCCACGTGTTTCAGTTGTAAGGTCAGTGCACTGTAGAGAGAGAGAGAGAGAGAAAAAACATGGGGGTAACAGGAATTTGTGGAGACCCTATAGAAACGCTAGTCACTACACTTGAGAGTAATTACGTGTAGGATCTCGGCATTTAATACACTGAACTGAAGAGCGACTATGGGCACTTCCACACAGGCAGGGCAGAGGCGAGTTGTATGGACTATGCCTCTTCACGAGTGAGCGTGGGCGTGTTTGTTTCTATTTTGGCTGCGGCTACAGGTTTTTTTGTGTGTCACAGCTGACTTGCGTTAGATAGGAAACGCGGTCATACAGCTTCCCCTGAAACACACAGCCCTTGACACTGCTTGCAGGCTTCCTGTGTTATACTGAGATAAGCATGTTGTGCAGAGTTCTGGCCAGCTCCTCAGCAACCAGGTTTGTTTGACGTCAGCCTCTGAAAGTCGATGCTTCCCCACGCCACCCCCCACTATAAATCAACAGAAGAGGGTTAAATTGCCTTTCACTTCCTTTAAAACTCTTGACAAGCCGTGGGTGGTTTCTGTTCTGTGTTTACACCTCAGGACCCCGAATTCCAACTGGTCTGTGCAAGCGCAGTGCCCTAGAAATTAGGAGTAGCCAGTATTATGAAACATTCTTAAATCCGGTTTGAATCTGGTCACTTGTTTCATGGCTGTTTGTGGGTCATTGCTGTGGGCAATTGTGCTGCCGTGTTTACCTACAAATACACAGTGATTCCATTTCACAGTAAATTCTTTGAGATGTCCTTCCGACATGATAAGGCCCTGGATCAAATACAAGAATTATTATTAATTTGGAAGCTGGCTCCTTTTTAAGAACTGTGGCTAAGCGGCTTCCAAATGAATACGCCTGCTTTTGGACTATGTTTTAAGGCAGGAGTTGGGCGCCCATAAAATCCCAATCCACAGTATAACGGGGCTGCCTTAGCTCCCATGTTTAGTGACTGTCTCTCTCGCTAAATAATGGCCCCATTTTGTGTCATTGGGATGTTCTGGATTATCTGGTATCAATGACTTGCCTTGCTTCCTCAGGTCCTATGGCAGTGTTTTCAAAGCCATTCACAAAGAATCTGGCCAGGTTGTGGCCATCAAACAGGTGCCTGTGGAGTCTGACCTGCAGGAGATCATCAAGGAGATCTCCATCATGCAGCAGTGTGACAGGTGAGGGGCATTGGGGCAGGAGAGGGGACGTGGCAGATGAGGGACGGGGCTGATGAGGTTGGGACAGGTGAGGTTGGGACAAATGAGGGCAGGTGAGGGGTGGGGTTGATAAAGGTGGGGCAGATGAGGGGCGGGCTGATAAGGGTGGGAATGGGTGGGTGGGGCTGATGTGGACGGGCAGATGAGGGGTGGAGCTGATTCGGGTGGGGCGGGTGGGGCCGAGGGGGCAGGCAGGTGAGGGGGCGGGGCTGATGGGGGTAGGGCAGGTGAGAGGGTGGTGTAACTGGAATGGAGTGTGTGTGTGTGTTTGCTGGGCAAGTACCACATCACCCCTTCACTTTGCAGCTGCCACGTGGTCAAGTATTACGGAAGCTACTTCAAGAACCGAGACCTGTGGATTGTGATGGAATACTGTGGAGCCGGCTCAGTCTCCGATCTCATCCGGATACGGAATAAAACGGTAAGCGCGCAGTGCAGGGTAATCTGTTCCAGTCCTTCAGAGCAGTGCTTGGACATTTGAATATAGGAATTGTTGGACGAAAAAAGACCAAGGTCCATCCAGGTCACCTTCCACCGTCACTTGCACGTGTCACATCCTGAACTCATATACTGTATCCCCAAATATAAATGATAATAATCCATGCATTTGTTATAGGGCCTTATCACATCTTCAAGACGTCTCAAATACACAGAATATACTGTAAATTGAATTGACTGTATTATATCCCTCAAGAAATCTATCGCATTTGCATTGGAAAGAATCAACACTTTCTGCTTCCACGGGTTCCCTAAGGAGCGTTACCAAATGCTAATCAATGGAACACCCTCTTTTTCCAATTGGTAAATGTGTAGCTGTGTTAATTGACAAGGAAGACTATTAAGCAGAACCATGCCCACGGTCACCTTCCCCCCTCTCCCCGCTCGGCGTCGTGCTCCGCCACTGTCAAGCGCTCTGGGACGCTGTCCTGCGTGAGGGGGCGCTTGGTAAATGCAGATTGTTTCTGTTAACGTTGTGTCACTCGGTTCCTCAGCTAACAGAAGACGAGATCGCCACAATATTACAGTCCACGCTGAAGGGGCTGGAGTACCTGCACTTCATGAGGAAAATCCACCGAGACATCAAAGCCGGGAACATCCTGCTGAACAATGAGGGCCACGCCAAGCTGGCAGATTTCGGAGTCGCTGGGCAGCTCACTGTAAGTGACTCAGCACAGAGTCTGGGGCAGAGGATGGCGTGTGAGTGTGTGCGTGAGTGGGGTGGGTTGGGGTGGGGGGGTGGCAGAACTAACAGACAGACTAGTTATTAAACAAAAGGCAAAATACAGCAGATGCCGGAAATCTGAAATAAAAACGAAGTCACTGGGAAAGCTCAGCAGGTCAGGCAGCATCTACGGAGAGAGGAAAGTGAGTTAACGTTTCAGGTCAATGACCTTTCCTCCACTTTCATCTCTCCATGGATGCTGCCTGACCTGCTGAGTGCTCCCAGCCACTTCAGTTTTTTATGACAGATTAGTTATCCTCTGTCTTTGGTTCTCGGCTGATCTTGTTCACCCTGTTTATCAGCAGCACAATAATACAGAGCATAATTGACAATTAGTTGTCTCTGTGATCAGTGATGTTTATGGCAGCAAATTCATTTTTGCCAGTGGCGGGTGGGAGGTGAACGGGGCAGTGGGAGGGAGTTTAACATTCAATGTATTTGTGCTCCACGTTGAGGAGGGGAAGGTCTCATTTGGCCACAATGTGTCGCAAGGGGGAGATCCTTCATCAAATAACTTCTGAGATGATTCTAGACTGCCTGTGTGTGAGTCATTTCACTGGTATTTCACTTGGGATGTAAAATTGTGCCTGAACGTGGGTCTCAAACGTGTGGTGAAACACTCAATCTGTGGTGAAGTGGTGGCGATCTGGGGGTCTAGCTGAGGACTTATTGTGGGGGGGTATCTTGCTGGATACCTGGTTTATTTTCTTCCCTTTGCTCACTGACAAACCCTGCTCACCGAGGAGGTTTCTGCTCAGTAAAGTAACCTAACTCTATGTGTGTGTCTGTCCGTCTGTACCCAGGACACAATGGCAAAGAGGAATACCGTGATCGGAACTCCCTTCTGGATGGCACCGGAAGTGATCCAGGAGATCGGTTACAATTGTGTGGCTGATATCTGGTCGCTGGGCATCTCAGCGATAGAAATGGCGGAGGGGAAACCGCCCTACGCCGACATTCATCCCATGAGGGTAAGGAGCAGTCAACAACAGCAATAACAAATGACATTTACACGGCGCCTTTCACGTCAGAAGGACATCCCAAGGTGCTGGACTATCAGGGATTTGGAGAGGATCTTGAAACAGGCCCTGAGGAGGCGAGGGAAGGGTAGGCGAAGGGACTGTGGGATGGAGTTCCAAAGGGTGGGGGCAGAGATGCTGAGGTCCTGACAAACGATGTTGGTGTGAGCTGGGCGGGGGACATGGAGCAGGCGGAGGGAACGGACAGGTCTATATGGAGTTAGCAGGTCACAGAGGTAGGGAGGAGCGAGGCCGTGGAGGGCTTTGAAGGTGAGGACAAGGATTCTGGAGCTTGGGGAGGCTGTGGAGTCCGGCGAGGATGGAGGTGATAGGATCACGGAACTTGGTATGGGAAAAATATGGAAACTCAAGTAGAATTGGCAGTGTATGAACAATCAAACAGACCCAGGGGATCAATAACAATATCCATTGCATTTGTATTTAATACAGCACTGATAGCATCCAAATATCTTAAAGTGCTTTACAAGGAATTGCTGTCAGGCACAGTGATGTATTTGGTAGGGAAACCTGACAGTCATTTTGTGAACAGCAAGAACCCACCAACAGCCAGGAGGTAAATGAGCAGTGTATGTGGAGGATTGTTAGCCAGGAAACAGCGATGAAAACTCCTTGTTATAACAAACTTGTTGTTTTGTGAAGCAGTGTCTGAACAGGCCGATGGTACCTCAGTTTGCTGACACCTCCGAAAATGCAGCGATACCCTCCCCCCTTCTCCCTTCCCCCCCTCCCGCCCTCCCTCCCTCCCTCCCTCACCTCTCCCACCTCTGACAATGCAGCTCTGCCCTCTCTTCCTCTCTCCCTCCCTCCCTCCCCACCCACCCTGCATCAGCACAGCCTGAGCTCACGTATGAGCTCAATATGAGTCAGGAATCCAGAACCTTCCATGGTTGTTTGGCTATAACGGCTAGGGTTAGGCATCTCACTTGCCCAGAGACGAGAGCTCCAGCGGCTGAGGGGGCTTCTCTTACAAACCTTAGAAATCTTTGCATCTGGTCTCACGGAGTCGATTACAATTTTCCATCCTCGACTCAGGGCGTTGCTTTTCTATGTGTCCCACAGGCTATTTTCATGATTCCCACAAACCCACCACCAACGTTCCGGAAGCCAGAGCTGTGGTCGGACGAGTTTACGGATTTTGTGAAGCAGTGTCTGGTGAAAAACCCTGAGCACAGAGCCGCAGCCACCCAGCTGTTACAGGTACAGCCATAGCGACAGTCACAGGCCGTGGGTGGGGCGTGGTGGAACAACTCAATCAGCAGGACGCTTTCAAATCCCTTCCTGCCCTGGCACCTCCCTACCTCTCACTCTGACCTGCTTACTCCAGCTACCTCCGCTCGCCTGGCTCCGGCCTTCTGCGTGTCCCATTCCGCCATCGGCAGCTGTGCTTTCAGCCACTACGCCCCGCAATTCTGGAACATTCATCCTCTATCCGTCTGCCTTTCCCCCTCCTTCCTTCCGCACCTTCAGATCGCGCTGGAAGCCCTTCCTCTTCGACCATGCCTACAGTCATCTTCCCGTCCCCCCGGTTCAGCGACGTGTCAAGCGCTCTGCGACGCTACCCTGCATGAGGGGGCGATATATAAATGCAATTTGTTGTTGCGGTCCTGCTTTGTGTTTTCAGCACCCCTTCATTAAAGCTGCCAAGCCGGTGTCTATCCTACGCGCCCTGATCAATGACGCCATGGAAATTAAACTGAAGAAGCAGGAGGAGCAGCAGCGGGACCTGGATCAGGACGACGACGAGAACTCAGTAAGATCCTAATTAGCTTGTTAATTCGGCAAGTTAATGAGCTAATTACCTGGGAGCGTCTCACTCTGTTCCCTCCCAGGGAATTAGGTCGTTAATTCAAGTCTTTATCTCACACACACACATACACACACCCACTCTTCGCTTGAAGGACAAAGTGGCTTTTTTTTTCTCACTCGCTTGCCCTGTTTCTCTGTTCTGTAATCCCTCTCTCTTGCAGAAACCAATTTATAGAAAATTTGTTCTGTTGAATAGAAATAGGCATAGAATTGAGGTGAGCAGCATGACTTGTGCGTGCGTGTGTGTGCGTGTGTGGCGTGTTTGCGTGTAAGCTTGAGCCAGTAACTTTCTGCGTGCCAGAGAGATTGTGGTTGCTCTCTGATCAGCCGGTTGCATGATTTGCGTGCGTGCGTGTGTGTGCATAAGTGTGAGTCAGTAAGGGTGTGCGTGCCGGAGAGATTGTGCTTGCTCTCTGTTGCATAATTTGTGTGAGTGTGTTGTGCGCACTCTGAGCTGTCTGCAGTGTGTGTGTGAGTGTGTGCGTGATATCGCTCTCAGATCTATCAGCTGGGATTGTGCGCAGCTGCTCTCTGAACTATTCGTTGAGTATGTGCACATGCGCGAGTGTGCGTGTGTGTGAATGTGAGAGAAGTCTGGTTATCCTGAGAGCTGTATTACAGTGTAGTGTGCTCTCGGATCTATCAAATGTGTGTGCGTGTTTTCTCTGAGCATGGGTTTTGCTGTGGGATTGTGTGTGTTTTAGCATGCTTGTTCTGATGAAGGGTGGGTGGGGGTTTAGAATAAGACCACACCCGATGAATATTTTTGTTGGAACAGTTAATTGCAGCTGAAGAGTTCGATCCATCACTTGCTGTGGTTTGGACAATGTGGCACAAGCTGCTTTGTGCCATGACATGCAGTGTCTCAGCATCACTTGGTACCTATTTTATAAACTAACTTCCAGGCAGAGGGCGAAACCTTGGGCAAGTTTCCATACTCCACACAGAGCCTAATAATAATCCCTCCAAAAAACAACAATAATAAATTGGTCATTTTCAATCTACGACTGTTTGTGGGACATTGCTGTGCGCAATTGGCTGCCGCGTTCGCCCACAAATATACAGTCAATTCACTTTACAATGTGTTCTGTGAAGCGCTTTGGGACGTCCTCCTGACGTGAAAAGCGCTATATCAAATGCAAGGATTATTATTATATTATTATTATTATAACTTGCAACAGATTCAGTCGACTTTACTCAGCGGACTCTGACCTGCTCCATGTCCCCCCGGCCTTCAGCCTTTCTACCCCCATCCTTTGCAACTCCATCCCACAGTCCCTTCACCTCACCTTGCCTCCTTTGGTCATTCTCCTACGCCCAACTCTCCCTGCCCTCTGCCCCTCCTCACCCAACCCCAGCTCAGGTCCGAAACCCTGACTGTCCAGCGCCTTGGGACGTTCTTCCAACTTGAATGTCAGTGTGTAAATGCCATTTGTTGTTGTTGACTTTGCTGCCTCCCTAGTTCAGGATTCCCACGATCAGCGTGAATCGAAGTTCATGTCCAAATTCACTCCTGAGTGAGTGGGCCGTCTGTCAGTGGATACCCTACCCGCTCGAGCCACTGAGTTGTCTGCCCCGACACACGCTTTGTTTGTGAGGGGAAACTTCCCGAACAAAATGCCAATTCACTTGCCCCCTTTGTGACGCGTCAAATCACAATGGTGAGTGTGTGGAAAGGGTTGAGGTTTCAATTGGGAAACAGATGCTTGCTCCTTTGTGATTTTTGTGAATACCTTCGGGTCACCCTGAGGACAGTCTATTGTTCCTCAACAATGGAAGTGACCGAACAATGTGTTACCTGGAACTGATTGGGACTGGAGCAGCATTTAATGAGAAGTGCCATGAATAGGAAGTGCCTAAAATAGAGCATCTGTACAAATTATTGTCTGACTCTCTGTGCAGGGGAGAGTACGAGTGACTCGAGCAGCGACTCAAGTCACCGAATAACCTTGAGCACTAACCAATGCCTTTACTTGTGTTCTGCACCTTACCCACTGGGCCATTCTTAAAGGCATCATTGATAGCCTAGTGAGCAACAGCACAGTTGGATCGAGCACCGAGCCAATAATAATAATCCTTGCATTTGATATAGGACCTTATCATGTCTTCGAGACGTCTCAAAGCACTTCGCAGACTATACTGTAAAGTGATTGTATATATTTTGTGGGTGAAACACACACAACAGTGTCCCGCAAACAGTGGATTGAGTGGCCAAATTATTTTAATTTATTTTGAAGGAATTATTACCCCCAGAAAAGTGATCCGCCAATCGATTAACAACTGGGTTCCTTCTTATTGTTAGGTAAACAGAGGCGTGTGAAGTAAGGAAACTTGCCCAACGTTTTACCCTGCCGGAAATCGAACCCAAGTCCTCTCGCTTGCGAGGCGAGTGCTCTAACCATTGAGCAACAGTACTCCATAATCTTAAACCTTTACCATTTCCCCTCTTTTCAACAACACCACGGGGCAGTGTTGCTGTCCTCTCCTCTTCCCTTGGCACTGACCATCCTGAGGTTGTCACGATCCTAGGTCTTCAGAGAACCTCCAGCAGGTGTGCTTCATGCTGGGGAGGAGACTGCCCGCACACTGCCTTTCCCAGGCAGTCCACACTATGGATGTGACTGGTCATCTCATATGACTGTGCTGTAGCAGATGTCAGTGTGATAAATGCCCATCAAGTCTTCTGGCTCAGTCGCAGCTGTTCTCATTGAGTGTTAAAACTTCAGTGGGTTGAGTTGTCTTCTCTTATTTCCCAATGAGCCCACTGCCATAACCACTTTTATTCCCCCCCCCGATCCCAACTCCCAGCTTGGGTGCAAATCCCTGACTGCCCAACGCCTTGGGACGTCCTCCCTGAACGTGGAAGCCGCTGTGTAAATGTAGTTTGTGGTTGTTGTTGTTGTTGACAGGAAGAGGATGAGTTGGACTCGGGCACCATGGTGCGAGCCTCTGCGGAGGAGACGGGTACCATGAGGGCGGCCGGCACCATGAGCGACGGAGCGCGGACCATGATCGAGCACGACAGCTCCACGCTGGACTCCCAGATGGGTACCATGGTCATCAACAGCGAGGATGAAGAGGACGGCACCATGAAGAGTAAGATTTTTTTATCCTCCTAAGTGCACAGCCCCGAGCTGACCAGGTGTCAGGCAGTACATGATAATAATCCTTGCATTTGATACAGCGTCTTATTATGTTCTTGGGACGTCTCAAAGCGCTTCACAGAATATACTGTAAAGTGGAGTGACTGTGTGTTCTGTGGGCCAATGGCGCACAGCAATGGTCCCACAAACAGCCATGGATTGAACGGCCAAATATGACTAAGTAAAAGGAGAAGCCTTGGCTATATTGAGGCTCTTTATGATGAACCTCCTTATTATCCTCCTTTGTACACATAAGTCGAGTTAGCAATGACTGGCTCAGCTGGCTGTTTGCTATCACTGGGGGTGGGAAGGCTGGGCAGCGGGAGTGGGGAGGGAAGGAAATGAGGTGTTTCTGACCTCTAGAGGGAACCAAACCCCACTGCCAGAGTCGTCCCAGCCATCAAAGCTCAGCAAGTGTTTAAAACAATCGTGTTTGAAGGCAGTTCACGTGCTGATGCAGTGTTCATTCATTTGCTGTTTGTATTGCCCCTGTTACGGCACCTCAAAGACGGTGCATGTCGGCTGCCTGACCGCACAGGTACTATCTGCTGATTCTCAGTGGATTTCCATCTGTGTCCACTTCCCAGTGTGAGCACAATATATAGCTTCATCCCCACTTGCTCTAGGCCAGGGTTAGGTGTAGCACCTTGCTGGCCTGGCACAGATCAGATCACTCAACAACCATACAGTTCGGACATTCATTTTCACTAATAATAATAATAATAATAATCCTCGCATTTGATACAGCGCCTTATCATGTCATTGAAACATCTCAAAGCGCTTCCAGGATATACTGTACAGTGACTGTGTGTTTTGTGGGCGAAAGACATCAGACAATTGCGCACAGCAGTGTCCCCACAAACAGTCGTGGATTGAGTGACCAAATTATTATTATTTTTGGAGGGATTATTACCCCCGAAAAGCAATCCGCCAATCGACTAACAACTGGGTTCCTATTTCCTGCTAGGTAAACAGAGGTGTGTGGAGTAAGGAAACTTGCCTAAAGTTTCGCACCCCCAGGAATTGAACCCAGGTCCTCTCTCTTGCGAGGCGAGTGCGCCAACCAATAAGTTACAGGACTCCAAGGCACAGGGTTTAACAACTGACCAAATCGGAAAGTGCGGGCGGGGTGTGAGGGTGGTGGGACGAGAGGAACTTTGCTTTCTTTTTAATCAGTGTGAGTACTGATATCAGGAGCTCTGAACGCAATAGGCAGCTGATTACACATTGTCAATGTTATGTGATTGCTACGTTTGTTCTTGTAAGTCAGTCTCAGTCAGACCTTTGGGTCAGAAGGTTGTTCAAGCTCCAAGTTTAGGTCGAGGACTTTGAGCTCACAGTCTAAGCTGAAACTTCTGGGTGGTGGGGTTGGGGAAGCATTGTCAGAGGTGTCTTCCTTTGGATGAGACGTTAAACCAAGGTCCCACCTGCCTGTTCAGGTGGCCTTCAAATATCCCATGACTCTATTGGAGAAGAGAAAGGAGCTTCTTTCTCCCAGTGCACTAGCCAACAATCCTCCAGATTGGAGTCCTGCAGCTCAGTGGTTAGAGCACTCGCTTTGCAAGCGAGACACCTGGGTTCAATTCCAGGCAGAGGGCGAAACCTTGGGCAAGTTTCCTTACTCCACACACCTAATAATAATCCCTCCAAAACAAAACAATAATAAATTGGTCATTTTCAATCTACGACTGTTTGTGGGACATTGCTGTGCGCAATTGGCTGCCGCGTTCGCCCACAAATATACAGTCAATTCACTTTACAGTGTGTTCTGTGCTGCACTTTGGGACGTCCTCCCGACGTGAAAAGCGCTATATCAAATGCAAGGATTATTATTATTATTAATCGGTTATTCACCCCCCAGCTGTTTATGGGAATTTACTGTCTGCACAAAACAGCTGCTGTGTTTGTCTGCAAAAAAAAACACAATTAATTATTGTAAAACACTTTTGAGATTGATGAGGTGTAAGGTGCAGTAACAATGCATACTTTTAATGGTAATTTAACTCCCCGTTAGATCCAGTAATTGATGTGTGCAGCACTCTAGTTAGACATGGAGTATATATACTTTTTACGAATTAACCGAGTGAGATGTAGACACCACTTGATGTAACTGTCGATTTCAATTTTCAGTTACTGACTTCTAAAAGGGGTCGGGGTGGGTGAGGCTGATTCTCTCCGCCAGCGCGGAAGTACTTGTTTACTCACAGCGTCATTCATCACTTCACAGACGTCAAAGGCCTTTGTGCTTTTCAAAGGCAGTCATTGATTTTGGTTCTAAAGTGCCATTAATATTACCTTAATGACCAATGCTTTTCTGATGACTTCAGTACTAGGAGCTTCCGAGAGGCTGGTCTGGATTCCTAACGCAGAGTTTTGTCAATGGTTGATTTTTCTTTGTGCAAACTTCCCTCTTGACCCCGTAGGTCCACACACAGTCCCCTTCCTCATCCTGTGCAACCCAGACAGACACCATTCAACCTATTGTCTTAGCGTTGTGTTTGCTAGTCCAATAAAGCTGTTTATTCCAATGACAATTTTTCTAGTACCCTTTAATCCCCATCTTCCATGTGTCTTTATCCAATTCCCCTTTTAAATGCTCCTGGTTGACAGCTCAACTGGGGCATTTAAAGGGGAAATTAGATAAAACAGGTAATTCTATCTTTATTCTGATAGCCTCCTCACTTCCCTTTAACACTCCTCGTTATAATCTTCAATTCATGCCCTGTTATTCTCAGATCAATTACCAGTGACCATAGCTCCTCAGCGTTTATCCACTCAATCTTCTCTGATCTGATGGGCAAAAGCCTGAACTCCTCCAGGCTCTCTTCATCCAAGGCAAAGGAAAGTTCCCTTTAGTACAGCAAACTCGAGTCGGGTTTGGTGATTTATAGTGAGCGTATTTATTCCCTGTAAAGGAATACCTGCAGCTGCAGCAAACGATCTTTAATTTGTTCTTCCCATCGGGGTTTCAGGCTTCTCTCTCTATCTATGTCTGAAGCTGAATTGTTTTTCGTTTCTCACTTTCTTCTGACTTCCCCGTTCTTTCTGTTTGTTGTTTTTCCCCCTTGGCATACTGACACAGATGGCTGGCATACTCGTGTTTTGCTTTGTGTGCAAATGTGTGTAGAGGTGACCTTGCTATCTACACAGCTGCCCACTGAAGTCAGAGGACCAGCAGGTTTTGTCAGGGAGGGAGGAGGATTCTTCAAAATTACTCTCCATGTTTTTGAGAAGTTGCCCTCAAAACCAGACTGGATGTGAACTGTGCTAGAAGCTTCAGCTCTAAGGTGGATTTCATAATAATAATCCTTGTATTTGATATAGCGCCTTATCACATAGGTGAGAGGTCTCAAAGCGCTTCACAGGATATAATGTAAAGCAAATTGACTGTATAATTTGTAGGCAAAACACGTCAGCCGATTGCACACAGCAAATTTTTTTTGAGGGATTATTACCCCTGAAAAGCGATCCGCCAATCTACTAACAACCAGGTTGCTACTTACTGCTGGATAAACAGAGGTGTGTAGAGTAAGAAAACTCGCCTAAGATTTCACCCTGTCCGGGAATTGAACATGGGTCCTCTTGCTTGTGAGGCTAGCGCTCTAACCACTACGCTACAGAACTCCAATATTGTGACCCCTTCCTCTAACTCCCTGCAACTCCGGTCAGCAGTGTAGCTCTCAGTGCTGGGTGCCAGCACTGAGCTCTGGACTGTGCAGGCTCACTCACCTCTTCCAGCATTGCAGCACGGCTGAAGCCTGCGCGGGCTGGGGATGCTGCTGGCTGGCCTCGGGACACATAGGTTTAGGAACAGCAGTTCTTGCCCTCCGACATGAGCAGTTAATCAGCCTTTGTACGATTCCATACTGAAACATCTGCTCGCTGCTAATTACCCACTCATTAGCAGACGTGACAAATGCAAATGGATTTGCATTTTCACATCTTTTCTAATTACCAAATTGCTGAACCATTTAACCTGTTGAGGGATGAGTTTCCCTCCCCTTGTGGCTCACAATGTTTATTTCGACTGTTTATAATAATAATACTAATAATCCTTGCATTTGATATAGCGCCTCATCGCATCATTAAGGACACATCAAACCCCTTCGCTGAGTATACTGTAAAGCGGAGTGACTATATATTTTGCGGGTGAAATGCGGCAGCCAGCAGTGTCCCGCAAACAAATTGTCGTGGAAGGAGTGACCGCATTATTATTTTTTTATGTATACTTTTTAAGTTTTGGGCTATTTGGGGAAGTTAAATAACAATCATTGCAGTGACTGTATTTGTAGCATATCTTTCACACAGCTATGCAGACCCCGGGAGAAACGACCTTCTGTTTTCCATTAGCATCTCTAGGATCAGTTGAGGCAGTGGCTGAACAGGCAGACAGGATCTCACGCAGCAACTCAACCCAGACAGGACACCTCTGGCAATGCCCCCTGCAGCCCTGCACTGGAGTCAGCCTTAGTCTGTGAGCTTGTGGAGCTTGGCAACACAACCTTCCGACCTCAAGGCCAGAGTGCGACCAGACAGGACATAGGAGCTAAAATCTAGAGTTAATTTAATCAAGGAGCTGCACTAACTCTGTCTGAGAGGTTGGTCCTGTCAGTCTAGGTTGTAAAGTTACTCGATTGGTCAAAGCCTGATTGATATAGTGTGATGTGAAGTGCAGCCCTGTGTTTATGCTTTGCACTGTAATTGAAATGCCATTCAGCGAGCACCCCCGGCTATAACAGGCTTTTTCCATGAATTCCAATGACAGGGTTTTGTCAAGTGAGGCTTGCTATATATAAAGCCAGGTCCCGAGGTGACGGAAGCTTGCTTTAGCTATGCGCTGGCACTCTCCTCATCGATGCCGTCCCCTGGAGTAATGTCCCCAAAGTTTTTAAAGGGGATGAAATGTGCAAATGAACAGCGAGGTAAAGCTTCGGTATTTCATGCGATGTTCCT